GTGATAAGAGCCTTGTTTTCGTCTTACCGCTCAGCGGACTGGAAACCAACCCGGCGGGGAGGCTTTTCTCTGACAGGAGGGTCAGTTCCAGCGGAAGAGAGGGAGATGCGTCAGGTGTACGCTTTCCGTGTGTGAAGGAGGCAAACCTAGCGGAGGGCGACTCATGTTGAGTTGCTCGGCTGGATCCAGTTTTCCCTCCCCCCCCCCCCACTAACACCACCCCCCACCCACCCCCTCGCTCCAAACTACGCTGCTCCACGCGCTACGCCTGTAAAACCTCCGCCCGCTCAACTTAATTAACCCGCGGAGGGATTTAAAACCAACCCAGAGCTGACAAACCCTCCGCCGAACTCCTGCAAACTACCGCTCACTTCGGCGTGTTTTTACATAACAGCATCATCCGCTTTTCTTTTTTTATGTTGACGCATCGTGAAGTGAAAACATGGAGTTTCTTAAAGGGCCACGGCCGGTCCACATGTCACGTCCCCCGAAGCAGCCCCCTCTGTGTCTGACAGGTGGCTTTCACCGGGTTCGTGCCTTCAGGCCATCCTTCGCATTAAAGCTCACAAAAAAAAATAGTGCAGCTGTTGAAGACTGGACGAAGAATTGGTATTCTGACACCTCGTGTGTCACGTGACAGCAAGGAGCAGAAGTCTGTTGTCCCTTTCCAGAAGTTACTTCAGGCAGATGGGCCTCGAACTTTGGTTCTAGATGTGTTACTTGTCCTAACATTACCATATCATGCCATATTTATTTATGCCATATTTGATACATAAAAGTTTCTGAAATGTTTTTCATCTGAGACCTTTGGCATCTTTTACTGGTAAAAACGTTTGTGAAAAGCCTGTTGTACACAATCAGATGTACATGATAACAACAGGGAGAAGACTACAACATTAAACAACAACAGCAATAAAGTTTTTTTTTAAACAGTTTTTTAAAATGGCAAATAAAGACTTCAAACAAAAAAAAATTAAAATCTTTATTTCCTCCTGGATCAGAATTTAAAGGGTTCATCTCAAAACGAAAATGAAGATAAAAAAGGAATGAATTACAATTTAACTGAATTTTTATCAGGGACAATCAATAACATAGAAAAACATTCATCATTTGCGTACATCAGCATTTGATATAACATCATCTTCCAGTCAATCACAACACAGCTGCTCCCAATGGAATGCAGAGAGGGCGGAAACTTTCCACTTTTCACTCATCAACTCAGTCTGTCACTGTAGGTGAGGTTTGCAGACATCCTCTGATCAAACAACTTATCTATGAAGATAAAATATGAAGCACAATCGTGGTTAAGTATGAGGAAATCCTCCAACGGTCCATACAATCCAGAAATAAGCGGTCCCATTTGGACCTGAAGGGGTCCCAGTGGAGGGCCTTGTGGAACGGGTTCAGGTCACTCGTCTGTTTGTGGAGAGATTGTGTTTGGCAATGACCTGTGCTTCTGAGACACTTTTAAGCAATGTTTGCGCAGCTTGTGGGATGCTGCTGTTTTTATGAGACGGGGTAAATCAGTGGGAGTGTAGACATGTCTCCACAGCTCAAAAAACGCACTCTGACACGAGAAGGCAGGTTAAAAAGAGAAGAGCTTTGCCAGCAGGAGTGATGGCGTTCTTCTCACACCTCCTCATGACACCTGTTGGTTACGCAACCACCTCCTTTGAAAGCGGTTCATCAACACACGTCTTCTTCTTTCGCCTGATATTCGATACAATACTGTCAGAGGGATGCACTCTCCTTCATTCGTACGGATTTGTGCTTCTACCCAATGCCTGATGTTGTTTTCATGACGAGCCAATCGCCTGCCCTCTGCAGCCTTGCACACCAGATGTGATGCTGCTGGCATGCTGTGTTTGGTTTTACCAGCAATGATGCCACACATTCCTCTCAGTTGCCACCTGGTTATTTTCCATAATCCCCCTGTGCATGGACAGTCTGATCTTGGTACGTTGAGTACGTCATCTCTTGGGAAAGGTCAGTGATCTGGACAGTTTGCTCTTAGTCTTGAACCCCTTCTGCAGCGATGTGCAGCGAAAATTGCAATATGTTAGCGCACACTTGAAAGCTTGTTGACAGCAAACTGACCAACCGTCTGCTTAAATAGAGGTGCTCACACTTCCTGATGATGAGGAAATCAATAGACACTGATGACCAGCTCCTGGCTGCTGCTTAACCTCCTTAAATCCAGCACAGGAAGTGATGTCATTAATTATTTACATGCTGCTCCTGCACTTTTAACCCAGTTTTTTTGTTTTTGATAACCCAGAACACACGGCAGCGTGTCAGTTGTTGTAGTCATGCAGACCTTTCAAAGTGGCAGAAAAGAAGAAGTGTTCTTTTCATGTGACTCATGTTTCTATTGTCTATAGATAGCCTAAAGCATGCTTTATGCTGTCATACAATAATACATTATAACTATATAATGATCATATATAATCATGATTATTTAGTATATTAGACAAACCCATTGCTGATACGCTCACACGCCACTCACACAACCTGTTTCTCAGACCTGACCTACAGATCCTTTCTGTTTTTTTATTTTTCCATTGCGCTCTATCTTTGCTATTGGAGAGGTAAGTGTTGTCATAAAGACTGCCAGTCTATAAGAGATAATTACACACTTATCTATTCACGTTGTTAATAACAGTACTGCTTTCTCTCAAGGTCAGTGGTTGAATGCACGTCTTCATTTGTGGGCTAACTGGATAAGCAGCAAAGTGGCTGCTTGTAGGAATATATTTATGAGCTTAAATTTAGTTTACCATGTTATTTGAAATTGTTTTCATACCGTATTTGTTGTAAAGTTTTCTTTTAAGTACAGTAATGATAAAGGAGAGTCTGTTCCATTTTTTTGACTATTTTAAATTAAAGCAACATTTTTAGAAGCTACATTGGAACTCATTTTCTTACTTATGTAATTTCACTCAAGTCTGCTGAGTGCAGTGATTTAACACTAACACTGTTTGAGTCCAATTCATATCCTCTGAGGGGAAAATCCACCCTGAACACACAGCTTCCATGTATTATTCAAACACACTGGGATAGTTCAATCATTGTCTGAACCGCTGTCTCCCCTCGGCCTTTTCTGGAAACAGGGAGCTCTATGTTCAGTGGATACAGTCAGACCATAGAAGTATGTATGTTTTGTTGACAAACCTACTCTGCTCTTCTTTTTTTTTGTTTTTGTTTTGTCGCCTGAACAGAAATGCTCCTGTTTTTGAAGATGAGCACAGTCGGCCTCACACGTCATTCGATGTGAAACTCCACAAACTGCAGCGCTTGAATCACGGAAAGCCAAGTGTTAAAAAAAACAGGGAGGCAGAGCCAAAGTCCAAGCAGACATTCACACGCACATCGATCAGCCTGAGCGTGTGACGGGGACCAAACCACAGTGGGTGGATTGGAAGTGCTGTCGTCTGCACAGCCGACGGGCAGAGAAGATTCAGCAGCACGTTACACAGAAGGAGCAGAGGGCTGAAGGAATAAGGGGGAAAAAGAATTCATTCCAGTTGGAAAAAGATTAAAGTGAGCCGTTAAGGCAGCTTTTATATCCCCATCATTTTAGAGACCCAGGTAACATTTCAACGTTTAGCTCGACCTGTGCCACCACTGTTCTTATTAAACGATTTGTAATTATGACATAAGTTCTACGTAAACTCAGTAGATTAAAACTATATAATGTTTTGAAAAAACTATTTTCTGTAAAAAATCTCCAGATGAAGCTCTAAAAACAGCTAATCGGTCTGTGCTTTGCTTCCATTTATCAGGGAAGCCCGACATAAAGTGGTGCTTTTTCAATGTAAGCGAAGAAAAAGTCCCTTTTTGTGTCTGCAGTTATTACACACAAACAACTTTTTGTCTGCAATGTTTCAATGATTCACCAAACACAACAGGACGAGTATCTCCATGTCCCAAAAGGCCTTTTTCAGCACCAGCAGTGAGAGCTGTTGTCAACTATGTAGTTTCACTGTATGTATCAGCACTGTAATGCGTATCTAATGCCTTAAGTAGAGGGGGATTCAGATAAATACATTAAAAAGTTGTTTCCATTTCTTTTCCATAAAACGACACTCCATGATTCATGTTTTCTACTTATTAAGCCTGAGATTATTCTGTGGCTAAGTGCACATTTTAAATTGTGACCCATTTTAAAGGTGAGGGACATGTTGAGTTTCTTTTGATAATAACAACAACAATAATAAACAAAGAAGAAGGAATAATTTTTTTAAAGGAAAAATATTTGTCATTTTTATTTATTGCAAACAAAACAAACATATCTTATTGTACATCTACATAATATCAGTGACCTTTGCAGAAGACAAACACACCTTACAAAGGATTTCTACAGAATGACTTACTTTATCAACAGTTTAGTTTTGCTCCCAAAAGTAAGCATTTTGCTAATGCTACTGACAAAAAAATGAATTATTACGAATAATAAATTTTTCTGTTAAATCATGAAAAGGAATTGACGAGACTTACAACAGCTACTTTGTATATAAAATGTTAATTTACAGAGAAAATGAGAGTGAAATCATCAGATTTTCCGGTTTAACCGTAATGATTACAAAGCGGCTGAAAGATTAACTCTGCATTTCCTAGATAAAACCACTTGTTCTTAGTAGCACATGTTTTGGAGTGTTTGAGTCAATGGCCAACATCGTGCCCATTGATACGGCTGAGTTTTAAATATGTGCTGCGTTATTGGCATCAGTGATTACAGAGTAACTGTAACAGAGGCTGTAGGAAGCCAAATTAAAAAAAAAACTAAAAAAGATGAAGGCCACTTAACATAGATCGATAATTAATTCCTTATTCCTGCAGCCAGCCATGCTTTATCATAATCTCTCCCGTTTTTGTGTGCTGTATAAACACCAAACCAGTGCACCCCGTGAAAACCTCTCAATGCCTCAGTAAGGTCCTGGGAGTGAGTAACCGTACATTCACAGCAGCCTCAGTCTGTCCGGGCCCTTTCCTTCCTGTGTCTATCTGTACAAGGAGTTGAAGGCTCGCCCGATGATGATTCTGCGCACTTCGCTCGTGCCTGCTCCGATTTCATACAGCTTTGCATCCCGCAGGAACCGCCCCATCGGGTAGTCGTTGATATAGCCATTCCCACCTGAAGCAGATTATGGGTTCCGTTAAAGCAAAACCTTAAAATTTTCACTATGTCAGGCTAAGTTATACCAGACTCAATCCCCAAACATCTAATAATCTTATACAGGCTGAATGCACTCGATTCAGAAAAGTTTTTTTTTTTTTTTTTTTTTTTACCGTTGGGTAAAAACAAAAATTTAAAAAAATTTTTTTTTTTTTTTTTTTTTTTTACAGTTGAGAGAAGAATATAAAATGTAATACACATTATCTTTAGATTTTTTAAGGTGCTTACCCAAACACTGTATGCCATCCAAAGCAACCTGAGTGGCATTCTCAGCACAATACAGGATTACTCCAGCACAATCCTGTAACACACAAAGAAGATTCTCTTAAAGTCCCAAGCAACTAAAGTAAAAGAAATAAAGAGAAATATATTCTGCATTGTTAAACATATATAAAACATACATTTAACAGAGGAAGTCTGAATTATTAACATTCTTTTTTCAGGAAAAAAATACTCAGGAAATTAGGTCAAACGTAGAATATTCTCACCATTGCACTGAAGTGTCCTTTGTCACATGCTCGGGCCACGTTGTACACATACTGCCGGCAGGCGCTCATCCTGGTGTACATGTCCGCCATCTTCCCTTGCATCAGCTGTGGAATAGATTAGGCCATCTTAAACTTTTAGATTCAACATCTGGTCAATAATGACATGAAATTAATGTTTTCAAAATGATTAAAATAAAAAAAGGAAAAAAGTTGACGACTGAACCTGAAAGTGCCCAATCTTTTGTCCGAAAGCTTCTCTGATATGAAGGTAGGGAATAGCAGCATCCAAAACTCCCTGCATGATACTGAAAATGATAGTTACAATCACTTTAAAAAAGCGGAGAAAAACTGAGGTCAACTTTGACGGAACATCTAATCATTCCTCAAGATTCCTGATTGAAATTTGATTTTGATGTCTTTTGTGGTGCTTGGCAACATAAATGAAGCAAACACACCTGGCTACAGCTAACTGATACATAGTGTAGATTTTTTTTAAAACTCTCTTTGGTGACAGCCCTAAATTTTAAGCATGGTTGTATTTGACAATTATAGTTTTCCAGTTACTTTCTCAGATTTTTTTAAACTTACCCAATTGGCCCAGCTGCAAGGACCAGCCTCTCCAGATCCAAACCGCTCATCATCACATAAACGCCTTTGTTCAGAGGACCCAGTATGTTCTCCTCTGCAACAGACGGGCAGAAATAGCTAACCACCGCCTTCAGAAAAAAAACGCGTCTACACCAAGCGACTATTCCATACACGTAACAAGTTTACAGATGCACACACTTTCAACTCATACCGGGAATTTTACAGTCCTCAAAGATCAGCTCGCAGGTGTTGGAGCCCCTCATGCCGAGTTTGTCGAGCTTCTGCGCGGTGGAGAATCCTGGCATACCCTGAAGGGAACATTCAGACACCAACATGAGTGCACCCACAGCCCCCAAAATCCCAATCTAAGAGAAAGCAATGCTGATTACAGAAGATAGATCCGTTCATCTGCTGAATAAGAATTCAATCAAAAGGCTGAGAGAGGAGCCCCCCCCCCTCAGTGAGATGGATTTACCTTTTCAACAATGAACGCTGTGATGCCTTTTTGATGGGCTTCAGGATCTGTCTTTGCATACACAATAAGCACATCTGCATCTGGCCCATTTGTGATCCAGAACTTGTTGCCATTCAAAACATAGTGGTCGCCTGTCAAAAGAAAAAGAGAAAGACACACACAAAAGGTGAAATATGTGAAACCCCAGAGACAAAAACGCATTCAAGCCGCGAAAAAGCAAAGAAAGACTTCGGAAAGCCTATTAATAGACGACACCAGGAATTTAAAATAGGTTCAAAAGAGAGGTGTGACTGCAGCTCTGTATAATGGACTGATTAAAATGTAGCAACCGTCGTAGGTGAGAAACCCTTATTTCCACGTGGCCCAGCCTCTGTGCTTAAAACGCACAGATTTAGCCATCACGGCTCTTTATTTTTCTCTCCAAAACTTGCTTGGGACAAGAACCCATGATAATCAGACACACTTGGTACTTATCTGTGCCACAACATGTGCTCTTCACAAGCACCCCAAAATGTCTACATTCACTTTTAGAAGGCAAACGTATTAATCTATTATCCACTCTATAAACTACAGTGAGAGAGAGCCTGTAAAAACTTAAAGGCTTCCATAACATTTCTGAACTGAAGATATTTTGCAAACACTGCACTTGAAACGGAAAAAAAAACTTCTCCTGCAGACCTGTACCATGTTTCTCTGGAAGAGCTTAAATATACTTCTCTTATCACGCTGCAAAGCTTAGCAGGGATGTGACATGACATGGTGTTAACTTAAAGGAACACAGAAAACAGTCAGATCCAATTTAAAAGGAGATCCAATTGATAGCAGGAAAATGCCTAAAACCTGCAGGACAGCGGCCCCTTGAGGACCAGAGTCTGACACCCCTAATGTGGCTCTACGTTCTGCACATGTGCTAAACGGAGTGCCACCTGCAGGTTTTCCTTACATATCGTTTATTCTAGTGAAAAGTAATGTAATTAATAACTATATTAAGTAGCTCTGATGCTCTCCAAGTTGGCCCATTGGGAAAAAAAATACAACAATCACAAATTCAAACTGAAGCCTGTGTTACAAAGTATTTATAAATATGTGTGAATTACTGTCCCCTCTGCTTAGTCTCAGAGGGGATTTATTTCAAATTAAATATGTTGGCGAACAAGCCAAACATTGCATAATGGTATAATAATGAGCCAGACTCAGACTGATTTAACCAATCTTTTAAAAGACTTTTAAACATTCCTTTACATCTTAATGGGGAATTAGTTAAAAAAAAAAAACTTTTCTTATTTATGTTTGAATGTACTAAATAAACCTTACTGGTCATCCTACTATAAATACTATTTCTTTGTACCAAAAAAATCAGGAAGTCTGGGCTGGAGGGAACACAGGGTAACATCTCTATTTATCACAACTTCTGTGTTCTTACATTTCAAACCTGCAACACAATTTAAACAAATGCAAGTCACAGCTTCTGCCAATTAGCGGTATTGAACTTCCTTGTAATAACATTACAAAACATTCCGGCATTGGTAGGACCAGATGAGTTGTCATTTGTAGTGTTATTTTGACCCATTGCAACATGGTGCCTCGAAGGCATCTCAGTGCACTTTTCAGCATTAACGTTTTTATTACAGGAGTGTGAATGAACTCTGCTCAGAGCGCTAATAGGACCTCACACCATGCATGGCTCACTGACATTAGGATGATCCTCTCCGCCTATGCGGCGCATCACACCGCTTCCATTTGTTCCCAGATTCCGAATACCCTGAATTACTCGGTCCAACCCGTTTTCTAACCCCTCATGCATAAACAATCCTCCTCATTTCTCGTAGTGTATTAATATTCTGCACAGCAGATGAAAAAACGCACAATCCCTTCAAATCTCCTTTCTTTGATGAATACTCTCGCCCCACCTTGGCTGCACAAAGGCTCGGCCCTCCATGGACACTACGTTTGCGTCACACCGTGGTTAAAATGAGTCCGCTTTGCTTTGGAATGTGCAGCAGCTGCGAAGCGTTGATGAATGAAAGGCGAACTCCGCCAACAGTTTGCAGAGAGGTCCTGTCAGCGCACATTAATCAGCCAAACGGATCCGTCAGTCAGCTTTAAGTGATCTTTGTTTCACTTATTCAAGCGAGTGATGAAGTCACTGAATCTACTAATCATACAGATGCCCCACTTTTGAGCGAGCCCCTGAACCCAGCATAGATTGGTGAGTCTGAGAGATATGTAAATCATTCGAGAGGGATGAGCTGAAGGTTTCGGGTGGACTTTCTGTGGAAGACTTTTTAGTTCAGCCTTAGTATTTCAGATCTGAGTTACATGAATAAAAAAATTAAAAATTGAGATTATGGTCAGCTTTCAACAGTGAAAGCTGCCCTGCCTGCCAAAGACAAGCTCCTGAAGAGAGATCCAGGCATTTCCCCATCGATAGCCCAAATTTGAAAAGAAGGTAAAGAAGAATAAAGCTGAAGATAAACCTCTTTACTGCTTTAAACTATAAGGTCATATAACTGATACGAAAGAGTCATTGACTTTCTTAGAGTGCTACCTTTCTTTGTCGCCTTCATTTTCATGGAGACGACATCGGATCCAGCATTAGGTTCACTCATGGCCAAAGCTCCGACGTGCTCCCCCGTCATTAGCTGGAAAGAGCAAGGAAATTAGATTAGAAATCAAATCAACTATCTGTTCTAATACATTTTCTAATTAAATGAAGAGGGGAAACGGTAGGCACCGACCTTTGGCATGTACTTTTCCTTCTGTTTGGGGTTGGCGTGACGCACCAACTGGTTGACACAAAGATTTGAGTGGGCGCCATAGCTGAGCGCGATGGCTGCTGACACGCGTGACATTTCCTCCATGACGATGACGTGATCCAAGAAGCCCAGTCCTGTTCCCCCATCTTCCACTGAGGGGAACATGGAGGGAGAGTTGAGCGTGCAGTCCTTGGTCTATAAAGCATTTATTCATGCATTTGTGTGGCACGCCAACTTATTCATATGAGCAATTCCAATCATATGAACCCCAATCTTTTATACCTGGGGCAGTGATTCCAAGCAGTCCCATCTCCCCCATGTCTTTCCAATAGTCCTGTACGAGGAACAATCCAAAAAGTTACTTGTCCAGCAATCTCATCACCCTTTTTTTCCACTACTAAGTGTAGCAGAGGTGTAGAAAGGACCATGCTTTTAAGTGGTTTGCATTTTTCTGTGTAATATCGCTTGAGTGGGTCACTTCAGGTCCACTTTCAGGGGCCGCTTTTCAACTCACCCGCATTCCTGGAAATTCATTGTTCTTGTCTATCTCGTTGGCGTAGGGTGCCAGCTTTTCCTCACAGAATTTACGAACTGTTTGCCGTAGCTGTGAAAAGGACAGAAGTCAAGCTCATGTCTGGCTTAATCCCCACATCAATGAAGTTGCGGATAAAGATAAAGATGATGCAGGCTGACACAGGCGTCAGATGTTAAAGGTGCTTCTGGCTTAACTTAGAAGGAGCAGTGACCCCCTAACCCTAACTAAAAAAGATGTCCTAACAAAGTCATCAAACAGTTCAGTGCTCCACAAACGTATGGACCATCATCCAGAGAAATACATCTGTCAGTAGAATAGAAAAAAGCTCTATAATAAAAGGGGGTGACAGCAGAATGACGCCACACTTCGGTGACATTTGTCAAGAGTGCTAGCTCTTACATGAAAGTGTCACCATTTTCCAAGTGTAAATATCCTAAAGTGCAATTAGACTGAAAAGCGGAAGTGATTTAGTATTTTATATCAGCTTACAGATTTCATAATGGACATGAGAGATATATTTAACTATGTAAAAACAAAGAGACAGGGGGCATAAAGGGACAGACTCTGTCACCCAATCAAATCCTTAGTTTGAACTCCACCCCCTACTGTATTCCCAGAGAGTTTCCATCTCCTTTACTCTCTGCCAAAGTGCCACTTAATGAGTCAGATGACTTACACTTTTTAAATGTATAAAGATAAGTAAATATTTCCGTAAGAGTCTTTCACTGCATATAACTTTCCGATCACCATGGGGAAGCTGTAACCTGACAGGTTATCTGTACAAATCATAAGGCCTATGTACACAGGACCCAGAAAGGACAACTGAAATAAGAAAGAATTAAGAAAACGTGTTTCTTATTTATTAATGAAACCTGTAACCAGATCATCAAATGGCAACATGTCTGCTTCGATCAAGGACTGTGTGTCTGCCCCTGTAAGCTAATGTTATGTCATCATGGGTTTTTTATTCTTCTGCGGCGGCCCACGTCCTTTAAGGACAACAACATTATTGCTGTTGTTTTACTCTAAGGGCAGGGAATACTTCTGGACTGTTTCGACGCCAGCAGCCAAACTGCAGACCAGAGAAAACTTTGTTTGGCTGGCACCAAGCTAGCCGGCGAAGCTAACCTGTATCTGGTCCTCTGTGAGCCCGTTCACCACGTCGTCCATCGGGATGGCAGCTCCGGCGCATCCTCTCCTCGCCACGGCGGGGATGGACAGCCTGGAGCCGAGCCGCAGGGCGTTTCTCACGGCGAGCATTCTGCTGTTTACAGGCCCTTTGGTAAAGACAGGTGAATAAAACGGGAGTTTGCCTGGTCGGTGGCTGCCCTTTACCAGAAAGTAGGAGGTCTCACTCTGGCGCTATTTCAGTGTCACAAACGGAGGCCAGTGTTTTTCTTCCCGAACGTTATTACGGCTAAATAATGCCATTTATTTGCGCTAGCGCCACCCGGTGGACAAGACCACAAATGAGCGCGTCTTGAAAAACTGTGTGCATTCAGTGTGAGAGAAAAATAAACACGCCACTTCCTTATCTTCAAAAGATTTCTCCTAAACTTTGTATCAAAGACAACTTTGCTCTGGAGGTTAAAGGTGTTACTGTTACACAGCAGAAAGCTTGTTTTAGTCACACAACAAAAACATGACAACACTAAGCATCCCTCAACATATTGTAGTTTAAACAGGGATAGTAACGCCACCTATGTTTTTATTCTTGTGGGGTTTTTGTGTCTGTGTAAAAATATGTACATCTCTTGTCAGCTGTTTTCTATCCATCCATAAGTCAATTTTTCTGGATTTTCATCACTGCAAATGGACTCAGATAAAACAATGCACGCCACACCATCAGCCCTCCTCAGAAACGACCGCAAAAAAACACAAAATGTCTTTTACCCTGTGGGTTAAAAAGAGCTGCACAGCTTGTTAAATCTGTATGGCCACCTGTGGAGGTGTGCAAATTTTATTTAAAAAAATGAAAAGTCTGAAAAAATAAGTGAAACTGACGAGATTTCGCTTGTTATTCCACGTTATGTAGTCAAAGTTAGAGATACAAATAAGATTTGAGAGGCCAAACGCTTTTATTATGAGCACATCCATATATTCAACAGCTTTAGCTGTACAGACATGGAAGTCTTTCCAGTCTGTACAGATTAAAGCTATTCTCTTTAAATCTCCAAGCAAGGCCTTGATCAGCCAGCCACAGATAGACGAGCAGGAAGAATAGCTGAGACGAGCAGCTGGAGCTCATTAAAACACCAATGTGGACACATTATTTCTCAAATATGTCTCATGCACTTTTAATTTTGTGTGATTCTGAAACTCCTGTGTAACTCTGAGGGTTGAGAGCTGTCATAACATTTTGTGCACAACTCAAGTTAAGACTTTGTTACACTCCGGGACACTGTTCTCGATTAGATATACGCATCAACTCTCATCAGTTTTAAACGAAATGGAAACAACTGAACAACTGAAACTGTCAGATGGGGGCACTGTCACATGTAACTACTGACAATTCACTGCATCCAAATGAAGCTGGTATGATGGGTAATCTGCCTGTTCTGCTTTGCCTGCTTTATTTTTAACCATTCTTTGTGGATTATAATAAACACAACTTGAAGTATTTCATATTGAACCAGTTTGACTTATTTTCTGTTGTTTGACTCAGTCAAGGTTTAGAAAAGGAATTAAAAAAGTGTATATGTGGAAATTAAAGCCACTAAAAAAAAAAAAACATGGATCATATCTCCAAATAATTGTGTTGCGTTCTTTTCTTTTCATTGCATGGCTTGGGTCAACAGGAAAAAAAAGTATTTTATCTGTGCAACGTATGTCAGTTTGTGAATGAATTAGAACAGATCTAATTAAAACAAGAAGACTGACGGGAGTAAATCCCATAAAAACTTTACTTCATTCATTCAACATCTCATGCTAAATCAGTTCAATCTTTCAAATTAAATTGAGGGTCAAAGCCAGTAAAGTAGCTTAACAAAAGATCTTGTAGATCATGCTGACCCAACCCAAAAATTAATGTGATAAAACTAAATTTCCCGATGAAGTTAAGTTTGGGATTGTATCCTGAAACAAACCCAGACTCAAGTTTTTTCCAAATCCTTTTTTGCTGGAAAATGTCCTCAAGTGAATGTATCAGACTGCTTGCTGCTTCTCTGTGGAACAATGTGCACATCAGCTCAAACTCTTTGATGACTCACAACAAAATTCAAAAGTCAATGTTAAAGATTTTAGTCTGAAGAATTTTGAAAATAAGTCCTGAAAAAACATTTTAATTGAAATTGAACCTAAATAGGGCCACAATAGCTTGCTCTTTAAAAAAAAAACTTGTGTAACCCGTTAGGGGGTGCCTTTAGTTTGAAGGGGTCAAATTCATACTGACCAGATCCTGATGAGAAGCTGCCAATCCGTTACTTTCTCTATGACAGATTAACTTCAGAATCAGCCAATTGACACATCTCTGAAATTCTTAAATGCTTTTTTATGCTCAGCGCCCAAAGTTCAGCAGACTCTTTCAGCATTTAATCTCTGCTCATTATTTGCATTGAGGAATGAACAATCATGTGGACACTGTCACTAAAGTCTGCTGACATGTTTCTGAGCACATTTGTGAAAGAGGCCTTGAAAACAGTCTAATTTCAAACAAGTGAACAATGACTGTATGCTGTTAACTTTAACCCACTTCTGATGAGTAAATGGATTCCACATGAATCTCATCTTTGAACTGCTTCGGTACATGGCGCCAGCACATGGCAAAATCTGACCTTTTGTACAAAACTTTTATTATATACTAAGAATCACTTATTGGCTCAAACTAGATTAGTGAGCTAAAATCATTGCATAACTTCTCAGAGTATTTTTTTTGTTCTTATTTGATCACAAGTCATTTGATTTACTTAATGAAATTCCGGGCTGACAAAAGAAGATGGAAATTTTAAATAGCGTTTGGTATCTTTTGCTTATTGTGTGTGTGTGTGTGTGTGTTTGTATGTGTGTGTGTTTTAGCAGACATTATTTGATGAAACAACCAACAGAACTAACGGCTGCTTGCTGCTAATCTCAATTAAAACAGCGCGTTCACTAACAACTCCAACATTTCCTCAACCTCGGGTGGAGTAAAAAACTTAACGTGTCGGCTGTTTAAATTGTGTTTTGTTCAGCCAGGAAGCGAGAGAGGCAACGCGGAAGATAGAGCCACGCAGTTGCGCGAGGTCGTGCGCCGGCGCGCGCGCTCGCTCGCGCGCGTGGAAAACCGCTTATAGAGGCGCGAGCCAACCCAGCCGCCGAAGGGGTTCCCTTTACCGACGGCGTGCGAACACTACGGAGCCGCAGGGGCTTTTTAGGCGGCAAAGCCCGGCTCATGAACAACAGGGAAGAGCCGCAGCCGCTGTAAGTCACACCGGGCCGCCTTTGGAACTTTTGCGAAAGTGAAATGACCAGATTTGAAGGCTGAAGCGGAGCTGCCCCCCCGCGCGCTTCGACGACTCGGAGGTTTTCAAATGCCCAAGGAGGGCAGGAGAAAGTCCTCCAAGGACCTGGGGGCCGGAGCCAACGAGAGGGGTAAAACCGAACGAAGAGTGGCGGCCAAGTCCCCCCAGTCTTCGGATGAAGTCGCAGAGGAAGCCGCCGAGGTCGCTCCGTCGGCTGTGATGGATGCTCCCCGGGTACCGCAGGTCACCATCACCCCGGAGGACGGCGGCTCCTCCCGGGAGATCCAGCAGGAGGACTGGGACGATGCGGTGGAGTGCTCCCTGCGCAGAAAGCTGTCCAGCTCCTCCATCTCCTCCACGGGCTCCTCTGCCGTGGAGTCCGAGGACGACCTGCTGAGTGACAACGAGAGCCAAAGCAAAGGCATCATAACCCTAGAGCACCTGGTGGACCCCGGAGAGGTGAGTAGTGGACAGCAGATACCAGAAAGTGGGTCTTATAGTGTTTAAAGGACATGTTTTCAGTGCATACACTGCATTATGTTTAACAACAGCAAGAGGCGGTTTGACTGGTTGTATTTCAGCTATTAGACAGTAACAGGAAGGAGCTGATGTTTACAGAACATGAAGCAGACTTGTACAGTGGCACCATTTCTCCCTGACACAGAACCGCTGGGAACTGTTTCAGATAACCACTTTCCTCAGACTTGTTTAGTGGATCTTAACGTGACGTTCACCCCCAAACAAGCCTTGCAGTAAAAGGCCCCCTCGGGGGAAATTTGTCACTTCCACATTTCTGAGGTTGATTCTGGATCCGCGCTGTTGTTATGGACGATGTGAGCGCTGGAAGATTTCCCTTTCCATGATAACCCAGAAACATTACTCATCTTTCACGTTGAGCAATTTGTTGAAACAGCATTGAAAAGCTGACCAAAGAGAGCAGGAGGGTGGGCGAGAATGTTCTAATTCCCCTTTTTCAAAAGACATAATCTGTCCTCGTGGTGAATGGGTCATAAAAACCTTTCACGTCACCCTAATGATCTCAGGTCCTGAATGAAGTGAAACCCTCAGACAGAACTGCGCCGTGTGAGGAATGACGGACGGTGGTGCAGCATCTTTTATTGATTTTCATCCTGACAGCGACATCTGGCAAAGAAAAATAGACTTGTTTTCTTATGTGGCTGGCAGAAAAAAAAACATTTGATGTAACAGCGGATAACTCAGACACTTAGTCACGACAGCAAATACGTCAAGTGTTGACTGTGGGATCGAAAAAGGCGTTGGACATTACGATCTGGAGCCCTTCATCCTGACCTTTACAGAGCAGACTGGCCTCTGCTATGGCAGAGACGAGGGTCGTGTCTTATTGTCCAGCAGACGGGCCGATCATGGAAATGACTGTGATGCTAACAGAGAGATGTGGATGTTTGCAGCTGAGGAGCTTCGTCACTGTCCCCTTCTAGTCTGTGGGATCAGAATGAGAGCACAGAGAGTCTCTGACTCGTCTCTGCCTGCTCTGCTTTGTGTCACAGAAGACACTGACAGTCGCAGAGGTTGTCTGGCGCTTCACTAGTCCAGCCAAGTCACTTTCCCGTAAACAGACCGAACAGATTACCCCCTGAGACAAAGCGAATCTGAAATGTGAAAGGGTTTATCGTTAAGGTGGACAGAGTCCAGGCCCCTTGAGCTGAATTCGATTTTTTCTTTCTTTTTTTTTTTTTTTAGCGTCATGGTAGCTACTCAGTGCCTCGCGGTGCTTACTTATTTGAAATGTAAATTTGTGGGTCCTGTCCCTTGTGAAAACAGCCATTTTCTTGCTCTTCTCTTTTCAGCCCACGGAATACAAAAGAAAAAACCAAAACACCCACTCTCAAATTCACCCTCCGCTCCGTGCAGGCCAACGTGACATTGCGCAGTGTATTTCTGTGGTCGGTATCCTCTGTTAGCCTTGGCCTTTGACATTTAACAAAGAACCACTTCAGGAAGTCAAAAACACTCGAGAGCCCTCTGCTCACTTGCACTTTAACGTCGAGCAGCACAAAGGAATTCCTTGTAGAAGAGTGCATAATAAAGCTGTTTTGAGAGAAGGGAACACACCGGGTACATTTGGACATGTGAAAGAACAGGCTCTCTGCCACAACAGGATTCATGAGGGAAGGTTCCAGTGTTTTCGGTTCATTGGTTCTTTGAGGAGGGAACACTAACTCACACGGTTGGCACCGGCTGTGACGGTGGACCTGAAAAACCCCGATAAGTGGTGCGAATTTTAATGACAACTCGTATGTTTTCGCTCAGTTGTCACTGACGACCATGTACGGTCGGCGTGTTGTTGAGTCAGTGTCTTACTCACGTAGCAGGCGAGGTGGCTCAGAGTAAAGGTGCGTCTGGCAGAGCAGAAGACTAATGCGTGGAGCCATGATGAAACCTGCGGGGGAACAAACACCAGCAGACGTCTGCTGGTGTTGCTTCAATGCTTTAACTGTGGAAAAAATTGGGAGGACTTAAGTAAATCTATTTTCTTTGACCACACACAGAAATCCCCTGCTACTTGTTCATGCGGCAACTCTGGGAACCAGTTCCTTTTAGGATTGGAGTTTACATTGAAAACACAGCATGTTAATGAATTAATGTGGTTTCGATTCTATAGAGCTGTAACAAACTCCTCGGAAAACCTAAGGAAAAATTATCCAGGATCCATTTTAATGGAGACATATGCAAATTGGTGTATTTTCTGTCTGCTTTAATCAAGTTGGCTTTCACACATCAGTATGAGTAGTGTGGTTATGTTGTAGTTTACAGGGGTTCATTTACTTCTAAATGAGCACTTTGACTCACTGATTTAATTGATACTGCCTCTACAATTAAAATTAAGTAGAGGTGTAAGTTAGCCGTTTGCTTGGTTTCTTACTTAATGTCCTGAGCCTTTTTTCCCCCTAAGTGCTATGAAGGCAGCCTTTGATGAAGCCTGGCCTCCCGAACACAAACACACAGCAAGCAGATCAGCTATCTCAAGTTCTGACACGGCAGTGAATGAGTTTTCCTCCTCTCCTGATGAAAGAGCAGAGGGTGAGGCTTGGGATCACTGCCATTTATCTCAGCAGGGAGATAATCCAAAAACTTCTGGGCTGGGTTTAATAGAGGGTGGTGCTGAGGCAGAGCGTGGTCAAAGATAGAAGCCATTAGGCTCCTTTGAAAGCAGTAAGATAAGGAATTGATGGAAGGGATGTTCGCTGTGTTATCTGTAAAAAACCTCTGTGATGTCTGTCTTTAAGGCCAAAAGAGCATGGGGTGAATAACCTGGTGTTTCAAAGCCAGACTTTGTGAAAGATACACAAAGAGACACACGCTCATCGTTCATACAAACTTCAGATCGATGTTCCCGGCCTTTGCTGTGCACGGTGAGCCTCAGTTTATTGGCACTGCTCATAATACCCCACAGGAAAGCACACCATCTGTTTACTGAACTATCTATAGAGCTGATGAACCTCAGAGGCTGTGAAAGTCCAGCGTCTTCACATGGCTTTAGTGTCAGTAAATGAGGCATATTACCTGACATTTAGCAGGGCTGTCTGGCAGCGGCAGAGTTCTGCTGCTAATGAGGGTCATGAAGTGTGAGCTCGAGCTGAGTGGCTCACAATATGAAGTCGCTTTGTCACTCACAGCACACGCCGAAAAGACCCTTTCAAAACCGAGAGTCATTACTAAGAACAGAAGACTAAATTGTGCGATTAGACGGACCGACCCATTGCTGCAGCAGAGAGATGCTGAACAGAGATGCTGATGGCAGATATGTTTCCTTTTAAATGACCTAGATTGCAGCTTTTATGCTATAGAAAAAAAAGAAGAAAGGTTACTGATTTAGTATGCCGATATGCTGATGCAACCAGATTTACACTCAGATACTAGAGTGGACTAATGCCTGTTCCAAGCATTTTTTGTTTTCGTCAGATCAATGATGCGTTCAGGGCCACACACACTGAGCTGAAAAGTTTACATTTTGTGAGTTTTCGTGATTATATTAATTTGTTTCGTTGTCACTTTCCTAATGTTTGTGTGTTTTCTGGCTCCTTTATAGCAGATCAAGCCCTGGTGGAAGCTGAAGACCTACGTCCGCTGGCCCCTGACTGCCACCCAGAGGAGAAAACTCAGTTGGGTTCAACTAGCTGGACACAAAGGTGTGACATGTTCCGATCTCACCGCATAGATTTCAAACAGTTCTGTTTGTGTGCCAGCTTCCTGCAGGCATTGAAAGGAAGCAGAGGTTTCAGATGTGAGAAATACTCATCGCAGCAGCTTGAGCCATTAATTATTTTTAATCCTTTTCTGAAGTTTAATGGGAACAACAGACATCTGAAAAAGCGTTGTCAGTTTTATCCAAACATTTTCAAGCATGCTTGATTTAAAAAAAAAAGAAGTGCTAAATGAAAGACAAAAAATCTAAATGAGTTATGCTGTAAACATCAACTTTTTAATGAGGATAGAAGAAAATAGTACAGGTAAAACAAATCCCATTGTTACAGACTTTGTCTGTTTCTGTGTCTGTGAATTCATGCAAAACCACCTGATGACACTATACTTAAGGAAGAAAACATAAAACACTTTGAATGTCTTAAGAACAACCAATGCCACACACTGTTATAAAAAAGTAATTGTTAGTGTTATCTGTTTTATCTCGTTATTATAAAACTTTATGATCAATATGAGAGGTGGTTTCAACCCCACACAAATGTATTGATCTTTTTCCTTTGCTTTGGGATTTATGACTTATTGATGATAGTTTCAAAACATTTATGTAAGGAAATGCTTAATACATGTTCATGTATGACTGGAGTTACTGTAGACCTGCTAGTTTCCCCTAAGGTATTATCATGGCCTCATCTAAATGTTTCAGGAATTTACATTCGCTTCCACCTCAAAGACACAACCCGTGATTTCAGGTTTTCTTTCAGATACCCACATGCAGGTAAATTCCTTGACAGTCTAACAAAGAGGCTGTGCATTGTGCATGTCTGAAAGCAGCTTATCTCACCTCAGGCAACTTCAAGGCTGCTGACGAGGGCACCATTCTGAAAAAGTTCTCCGAGAACGAGATGGAGTGTTTTGTGAAGCTGAGAGATGATGCGCTGCTCCCTTTTGTGCCCGGTTACCACGGCGTGGTGGAAAAAGATGGAGAGTCTTTTCTTCACATGACCGACCTGCTGGCAAACTTCAACCACCCAAATGTCATGGACTGCAAAATGGGAGTGAGGTAAGGTGGTCAAATGAGTTCAGTACTGAATGATGATCCCTTTATTTAGTAGGTTAGCATTAAGATGGACGGAAAGTTACATCAAGTTGCCATTTTTTAATGCTAATTTGCATATTTTCTGTTTAAGAGTCAGCGTTTGTGCTCTGTAGAGATGCGCTAATAAGAAAAGAGCATGCAAGTGACAGCACGAGCTGTCTGACGTGGTTTGGGTCTATAAGGGAACACCTGTTCTAACTGCAAGCTGCATGCTTGGCTTCCTGCCACAGAGGGTGGAGTTCTACATTTTCAAACACACTTACATATATGCATGAATGCTCTCACGAGTGTATGCATGCACAAACAGGCAAAAGGATACTCGCACAGACACTTACATGCATTTCCATGCAAATGCTTGAGCACACACATACACACACACTGATAGACACGCAATCAGGCCCTAACCCTAACCCTGACAGACACACAACACTCATGAAGTAATTGTTTTGTCGTCTGCTTAATTTTTGTGTATTCTGGAGGCTGTTCAGGCTCACACTCACACAGACACACAAACACATACACACGGCTGCACACTCAGGGTGTCCCTGGAGACTCCCCTTTGTGAAAAAAAAAGAAAAAAAAAGAAAAACTATCTCAGCCACAAAGTTGCAAAACCGCCAGCTTGCACAAACACACACGAACACTTTCACACAGTTAAGTGCTGTACGCAGGAGTCTCCTCTCAGCTTCCCTCTTCTGCACAGAGGAAGTGTAGCTCACAAACTGAAACTGAAATTCACATCTGCACATAACACTCTGTGCTTTGGGTCTGATGCCGTAAACCGACAGAAATAACAACTCCTGCAGCGTGTTGCTCTTGGCTGTGAGGATTGCTGCTTTCACTGTACTGTTTCCTTCAAGTCTGACTGCACACATGAGGTAACGCAGAAGGAAACAGGTCTGTCTCACTACAGCTAAAAGTTAAAATATCTTCACATTCTGAGCTTATTCTCAGTTCTAAGGATTTACATAGATGTCATAAATTCTTACAAATAGGTAATTAAATATATTACAACAATAAGATAGTAAACTTCAGAGTAAAAAAAATAAATCGAATGGGATAATGAGATAAGACTTGTTTGTGTTGGTTATTAAGACGCAACAGCACAGCTGTCTCAGGCACGGCGGGGTTAGTGTGATGGTTTGGGTTCTTTTTTTTTTTAAAGGAATCCCTTTAAAATTATGCAATTTTCCTCCTCCAAAACGATATGATAGACTGATTTAATCCTGCTTTGCTTTGGTTAGATGAATAGTAACACGTTTAATGTGTCCTGTGCTGTTGCTTATCTTAAGTTGTATTCACCTCAGATAAAGACGTAACAAGGACCAGATTGCTCCATATTACTTAGTATAGAGTGATACCTCCGATTTAAAAGAGTGCACCTTTTATTTTCCACATGACTGTGTCATTTTAAGATTATAGATGATAAAGAAAACCCTTGGGAAACACTCTGTCAATGTATGTCCAAACAAACAAATGCTTTTTGACTGTGTGAAAGGACTTACCTGGAGGAGGAGCTTGTGAGAGCGAGGGAGCGGCCTAAACCGAGGGAGGACCTGTACAAGAAAATGGTGGAGGTGGACAGTAATGGGCCCACTCCTCAGGAGCATTCCCAACGGGGGGTCACCAAGCCTCGATACATGCAGTGGAGGGAGACCCTGAGCTCCACCCACACCCTGGGCTTCAGGATAGAGGGGACCAAGGTACTCCTGTGTTCTGTGGAGTGTGTCTATGTGCCGTCAGCGTGTTTACTGAGGTGTAAAGCAAACACAGCGAAAGGCAGTTAACTAACTCATCGGGTTAGTTAACTGTCTGCCAAAGAACCTTTTTCCAGTAAGTGCTGTTGGCAGTGGTTTCTCACATCTCCCCTTGAAATATTCTGAATCCTGTGGCTTTTTTTTTTTTACTGAATAAAAAACTGCAGATCTTCTTTATTTTGGCAAAGGACAATAAACCAGACTAAGCTTACCGAGGCAGTTTAAAAACCACTGTTAGAGGAAGAATGCACCAAAACTTTGCTGCCAATATCCCCACAAGACTTCTGACCGCCTGCCCTTATGTGACATTTTCATTCTCTATCTCTAATTAATCAGTTAGGTTTTGAATTAAAGTGATTTTTGTTTGTCAGTTATTAGATCTGCTGTCATTTCACGAGGAAACCTCTGGTCAGAACAGTGTTTCATAACAATGTTATTATGCTTCTTCCTTCTCTTTAGAAACATGACGGCACATGTCGAACTAACTTCAAGAAAACCAGATCAAAACAAGATGTCATCCAAGTTTTCAAGGACTTTGTGGGAGGGGATGCCAACCTCATAGTACGTGGCAGTCGGTCTAACTCTGCATGCACGTACACGCGTATTCGGTCAAGCAAAGGCACACACAGAGCGACTTTACCTGGAGAACTTCATCCACTACAAACATATGCGCTACATAAGCTCTCACATCCGTGTTTAGACAGCTTTGAGAGGCATGTTTCTTTTGTCGTTACCCTTTTATTAGAGAAGGGTTTGGCCCAGGCTAATGGCAAATATTTAAAAAACTGCCTTAAAGTGTTTGAAGTGCAAGGTTAAAATAGCACAAAGTAAATATACACACTGTATGAGTGTTTGAGGTTGATTTCCAAGAATCCGCAGGGCTTATTTTTCACCCATTGTGTATTTTAGAAATTCAGTTCAAATTTACTTAATACGCTTTTCTGTTTTCACTTGAACCACAGAAGTCTTATTTGAACAAGCTGAAAGAGATCCGGCAAGCCCTGAACGCGTCCCATTTCTTCAGGCAGCATGAGGTGAGGACTGTTCTGCGGTGAGGATGAGTCACGGGGTAATTCAGGAACAAGAAAAAGGAAGCATCAACTTAAAATCCACTTGAGGGATTGAGCACTATTTTTCCATTTCTGGAAACTGTCAGATGGCAGAGATAGTTTTAATTTTACTTTCATATGAATGACGACAGCAGAACATGCTCTGTTCCCGTGTGGAGGGCAATGTTCTGGCATTTTCTGGTTCTCTCGATATCACGATGATTAAAAATCTAATCGAATGGATCTCCTGTGTCCTATGAGTGGGTCGGGGTACATATTTGTTTGGGTTGGGCCGGTTTGATGAGTATAAAAACTAGATTTTGAAGCTAGCATAAATCCCCGCCACCATCATGTCAAGAGTAAATTTGAAAGTGTCTTTTTTGAAAAATAGAGTGCATCCCCCACTTATTCTTTCCTTAAATTTATCAAAGAAAGAAAAAAGTCTAATAATAATCCCCTTTTACTTTCCACAGGTCATCGGCAGCTCTCTCCTCTTCATCCACGACCACACGGGCAAAGCACAAGTCTGGATTATTGACTTTGGCAAGACCACAGCATTACCAGAAGGCCAGACCTTAAAACACGACGTTCCCTGGCAGGAGGGCAACCGGGAGGATGGTTACCTGTGGGGGCTGGAAAACCTCTTCTGCACACTGGAGTCTGCGAGCAACGAGAACGAGGTCACCGGCGACAAGACCTGTTGCCCAGTTCCCAAAGAAAACAGCCAGACCACTGACACACATGGGTAGTGAGCTGTAAGCTTTAGGAGCTTCAGTTATTCTAATGAACTTAAAAAAAACAAAACCAAAAGATACTTTGAATCAACAGAACGACAATACACATTTTCTGTTGATGAAGAAAACTTCTGTGGGGCGCGTCCCATGCACACTTAAACTCTGGCTTTAACCGTTTAGTACTGACACTGACAGCAAAGACAAGATGGGCCCTGAACGGGGGGGAAGCACACAATGTCTCACGACAAAGACAAATGATTGAGCAATGGAACTGACACTAATTTAACTTCCTACAAGGCAAACAGAAGTGAAAGTGTGGGGATTCAGTTTCAGGGGCAAGAAGTTAAATGTGATGGAAAATGCTCAGAAGTAAGTAAAGAAGACTCAGCATGCATAAATACCAACTCAGGTCTCACCTCACTCTGTCTACTGTAAACATCGGCCTAGAGTGGATTATTAGATCGTGTTCATATATAGCCCTGGACACTGCATAATGATTAATGCAGTTTAATCTACGTGCGCCGCAGTTTGAAGGATCATGTTTTACTGTACAGCAACTTTTATTTTTGGATTCTATTCTTGCAATCAGTCTTTTAATCAATGCTGCTGCGATGTTTTCCGTGCCAATTTTCTGTGCCAGTCATTATAAAAGCTCAGACTTTGGTCATTTCTGTGCAGATTAAACAACTGAACATGTTTATAAAACTGAAGTGGGGGTTTACTGTCCAATTTGTTTCCAGTGGTAAAACGCTGTTTAGAAGCTGTGTTTGTCCGTCAGGCGTTTGAGTCCATGCCTTGACATTTATTGGGCCAAGTTCACAAGTAACACTAAACACAAACGAGTCAACGTACATTCTTTCAATAATGAAAGTTAGTCAGGTGTAATGACTGTCTTTGTACTTTTATTTGAGACTCACTTAGGTTAAATCAAGACATAAAGCAAATCCTTTTGGATTTTACCTAACTATTATTTACTTAACTATACACAGTGCGTAGAGTGGGTTCATTTGTTTTTTGTTATTTGTTTTTTCCCACCAAAATTATTCAGTGAAGTTTCACTTTGAGGGTTTAAAGTAACTGTTAATGAAGTCAGTTAGCTGACAACTTTTTAACTAATTAGCAACAAACATAATTACTGGATAAAGATATAAGATTTAGGCTAAAGTTCTTAATAAAGCCAGCCTGGGCCTTTTACCTAATATGATCTCTCCCTTTCTTACTCCACCCTTCTTTATGTCAAGCAAACAAACACAAGGGAAATAAACAAACAAAAACAACCATGCAATAGGATGCAATGTGTTCAGCGCTGAACACTGCCCCCTGCTGGGGTATCCAGCTACTACCATCAGGAAAACCACCCTCGGTCAAACGAATGTGTTTGGTGTGACTATGGAGGACCGTTCTGCTGTCAAGATTCTGGACACGAGCAGGGGACAAAAAAAGAAAGAAGCACTACCATTTGCAGAGCAGCTTGTAACGGCAGTGATTTACCTTTAACAGGAAAGTACCTGTACAATGGTTTACTCCAGTTTTCTCCAGATCAGACACAGCCTGATGCAGGAAACACTGTTTCTAAATAACAGCAACTCCTCCACGTGTCTCCAACATTCTGATATACACCTCTGGATCACTGTTCTTTTCACCTAGTTACCTAAAGCATTGTTACAGATGCATTATCATTTCACTGATCATATATTGGATGGTCAAACTAAAACAAGATCAAATAAAAAATAGGTTGTCGTATTTGACGAAAATAGAGGCCCTACTTTTAGTTGTTAAAGAGTCAGAGCTGAGTGTCCCTCCATCACAAAAAAATAATTGGGCACATAACTCGTACAAATTAGACGAATATATGTCAATTTATTTGGGGCACAGTTAAATGAAAGAGAAAAAGAAATTACAGACAGTATATTGCATTGAATGTATTTGCATTTTTGTTCAAGGCATTTCTAGCTCATATAAAAACGCGGAACAAAATATACGCTGCAATAACACAAGGATCCGTTTTTTTCTTTTTCTGTGTAAAAATATACCCAGTCTTTAGAAAGGTGTATGAACATTTTGGTTTCTCACCTTTTCTTAAAGATGCTAACTTCAAGTTGAGTCGGAAACTAAGTCACTAATATCAGCAGGCTTCAACATAACGTACAGTATGCCAGTACAACTCAAAGGCAAATGCAACTGCTCATTTAACATTTAATAAAATATACCATTTACGAGTTCAGGTTCAAAAATCGTTTCACAAGGCTGACAACTACCATATTACTGACAATATAAACCTTAAGTCAAAACATAAATACTGAGTACAGATGTCCACATTTTCTATCAACAGCTGCAGCAGCTTACTTGGTATCTCAAAGTTCAATACCTCCCCCTGCTGGATAAACACATGTCCCCCCCCACCACTGCATCAGCAGATGCGGCGTAGCGGGTTGAAAAGGCAGTGATCAACTACATATTCATAATAAACAAAAAAACAATCTAGAAGTCCAAACAAAATTAAAAAAAGAGTAAAATACAAGCACAACAAGTTAGTCCAGTGTACTGAGGTGAGTACAAAAATAGCTAATAGTTTCACAGCTGCGAGGTCATCTTTACGTTCTATTCACGTACACATTCATAACACCGCCTGCAGGCCCAGTAAAGATTGAGACATGTGGAAAGTTCATATATACGGAGCCTGTCTGGTGACATAATAGGGGAAAAAATATAGCTCGTCCTCACGACTTTTTTCATTCGTGCCCACGACCTAAAATCTCGTGCCCACGACTTCCTACTTTTCCTGTGTAGTGGAAGACAGGAGCTCCTCATAGAAATGAAAATAAACATGGAGAGGCCAGGACTTCTGTGAATTCTGGGACAAAGAAAGGTTTTCCAAATTCTGAAGAGTGTTTTATGCCATTTATATAATTTCCTGAATAATAAAAGCTCATATTTGATTGTCTTATACAGTTTCTGGATTTGGATGGTCCAAATGAAAAAAATAAAGTGTTCACAAATCAGACAGTGTTTTAAAGTCTCTGCAGTGAGATCGCCCTTTATGGAATTCACGAATCGGAAGCTGTGAATTGGAGGCAAACTTCAGCCTCGTAACTCGTAGCCACGAATTAAATCGTTGGCACGAGTTATTAAGTTGTGGGGACGAGTTATATTTTTTTACTATTATGTCACGATGATAAAAGTGGATAAAGAATCAATTTAATAAGTTCTGTTTAAAAATGGGTAAATAGTTTTTGATGCTACCCATGATCCACACTGCCCTTTGGTGTAAAGCCAAAAGGGAACTGAATTCTCTTGTTCCCCATCTTTGTGTTTGCTTAATTCAACACGGACTTTTGGACCTCTGGGGCTCTTGTTAGATACGCCACCTAAACAGTCAAATGGTAACACGACGTAACTACCAGTCCAACTGAAACTGTAGAAAGACATGTTCCATGACAAAGTACTTATGGCAGTAAGGAGGACAAATGTTCACATTGTATAGGGTAAAAGTAAAACTAACTTCAAGGCCAAAAGTTTGCCTTCAATCATTCTAAAAGTAGACTTTTTTAAATCACATTTTACACTGAGATTTAAAACCTATTTGAGTTCCTGTCCCCCATAACTATATGTTTCTGGCCTCTAGTTATCATACCAAATACTATGGAATTGAATATACAACTGCCAAAGCTTTCACAATCAAAATATAGTGAGACACAAACAAAAAACAACAACACATAAACTTAATAAGAAACAAACACATCAATTTACAGCAGTTTTCTTCCAACATCTATCTCCAACGGTGTGGACACTTCGAAGGCGTTGGGCTTCATTTCAGCTGTCAGCAAACCAGAAGCCAGAGCAGAGTTCGGACTGCTCTGGCTCCCTGTCTCACAGTACAGAGGAGTGTCTGTGTGAATGCAGGACTTTGAGTGTATTTTCCAGCATACCAGGAGCTGTGATAATTAGATCTCGGGCATTCTGACTACGGCAGCGCTCTCACAATCGAGCCATCCCCCCCAAAAAAGAATGCCTTCAGCTTGTGTTTTACTTGGTTAGAGAAGGGATTCAAGTTGACATTTTGATTTGGATCAGCTTCCCTGCTGGCTACCTCTTTTTTTTTTAAATGGGGGAAACGCTGAGATCTTCAGACAGGGAGAAGCCAGAGTCTCGGTCGCGAGTGGGCTTCTCAGCTTTGGCGTGTCTCTTTACATCCTCGTGTCCGTAGCTGGCGTGGCGCTTCAGCATCAGTTTGGGCATGAAAGATGAGGAGGTGTGCAGGCCGAGTGCCAGACCCGGGGCCGTCCCCGAGGAGCCACTCAGAGGGGAGCTGGTGCTGGTGATGGCTCTGGGGGTTTTGGGTTTGACCGGGGGCGGGTTCTCTGCCTCGCAATTCTGCTCGTCGTAGGCGTAGTTGACGTTGCCGCAGGGGAAATTTTGGAGCTTAGCTAAGTCCATTCCAGCCTTTTTGGAACCACCTGCTAGATTCTTGGGAGGGGGAGTGCTCGGGGCAGCCTGAGGCTGGCAGGCCTGTGGTGGAGTCGGACTGAGGTTGGTGCTGGTGGCGCTCTCACAAACCGCCTCGTTGCTCTCCGACGCCGGGCTGCCGGTCTGTGAGTTGGTGGTGGAACTTGAGATCGGCATGGACTGAGTATGAGCGAGGGTTTTCTTACCCCTGAAGTTCTCCAAGACCCAGGAGCCGTAAGTGGGGTTCCAAAGGTTCTTAGTCTTGTTCTTCAGCCTCTGGCTCCCCGAGGACGAGCTGTTTCTGGAGCAGGGCCGGTGGTGGGGAGGCTCAGGGTGGAGACAGTTGCTCCCCGCCGACAAAGCGGGGGCAGGAATGGTCTCAGCCCAGGACGGCTCCAGCACCTCGTGACAAGATGTCACTTCGTGGTGGATGGGTTGGATCCTCTGTAGGAGGAGCCGGGGTTTGGTGGGCTGCGGGGCGAGGGCCGAGGGACTAAAGCCCAAGGTGGTGAAACCAAGCTGGGAGGTGGAATCCTGGCAAACGGGATGCGAGCCCAGGAGCGGACTGAGGCTGGTGGAAGTGGGGACCGCAGGGCGCATTACTGTGCCCCCGTCGTCCTCTGTGTTGGGACCGTATTCCACAGGTAGGGGTGTATTGATCACGTCAGGGTCCTGAGGAAGAGGAATAAGTCATGCAGCCATTCAGTAAAGAACAAATAAGAAGGAAAGGGGTTGAGAGAGTTGTTTTTGAATCCGGTTGAGGAATGCGGCATGTTTTATTTCATTTGCAGATCAAACATACCTGAGTGCAGTAGTTAATTCTTTCCAGGATGGTTGAGAAGTTGGGCCGGTGCTCAGGACAGTGCTGCCAACACTGGGTCATGAGGCGGTATCTGAAACAGATGCAGCTTGATAAACTAGGTTGTAAATCCTTGCTGCTGTTTATCAAGCTTGGCCAGGAAGAAGCAGATCTAACTGTGAGTCTATCAATCTAATGCTACGTGAAGCGGGCGAAACAAAGCCTGTTTTGCGTCATCGTTATCGGAGGGCATTTCTGAAGAATTCATGCGGCTTTTGGGCGACTGGTGTCTCCTCTGTGTGCAATTTCCAGTGAGTACTCACACTGGCCCTGGGCAGCCCTTAGGAGGATCCATTCTGCCTCCGCTAGTGACAAACTCCAGGACCTCCTGGTTGGTCTTACAGGGATAGGGCATGTAACCTAAGGACAGGATCTCCCACAGCAGCACGCCAAATGACCTGCAGGGGAAGACAAAGATCATCAACTGAGGGGATCGGGCTGCTTTTTCACACCAAACTGTTCCTGCTTTCATGGCCCTCAGACTGCATATCAGAAAATAGCTATCTTCAACGGAAATAAAATAACATAACCGATTCAAAACTGTAAATGAGAAGAAGGGACTTTTCATTTCGGGCCTGCTCAACTGACCCGAATAAGGATGATATTCTTTATAGAAAAACAAATATCCAGTTTGCCATGTGCACCATTATTGCTTCACACATTACAGGAAATAGTTGAACGTTTTCTGTGGAACCCAAGAGTCTGAGTGGATTCTTAACAGTCTTTGTGGTCAGACTGTAGCTGACTCTGTGCATGTGTTGGAACTGATTCTCAGTCATCCAGGTCACGGTAGTCCCAGGAGCCTGAGTAAGGACAAATATACCTAAAAGAAGCTGTCCCCATTTCAAGTTATTATTTTGTAATTTAGTACATATTTCCACCAGCAAGCTTGCCAGTGAACAGCTGTTCAAACCTATTACACTGTGGTTCTTATAGTATGATTTATTTTTTCAATCAGTGGGGCAGCCAATCTTTCAGTCCGCAAAAGTGAAATATCGGACTTAGAGTTTGGACTCTCCTCCTCCTCTCACCATCAGAAACAGGACATTCTTTGTTCAGTTGTTCTTGAACACAGTGCAGCTCTGTTTTTGAAAGTTAAGATGAATACAGAAGCTGTAAGGTACTTTGCTGGGCTTTGTTTGTGATAAAATTGACGGCTTTTGAATATCCCCTCTGCTTAAGTTGCGTTGAATCTTTTAGATTGAAGGCAGTAGGGATATTTTTCACCAGAGGGTTGCTTGGCTGTTTAAAGCCGCTGCTTATGAAACAATATTTTTCTATGCAAGTCTGTTGCAAATTTAAACTCACAACATCTGGTATTAGTTGTTAATCATCCAGAAATATTTTCGGAAGGATGGTTAAATAATGTAGATGGTGTGCCAACATTTGGTGAATGCGTGATGTGCAGCAGCACTCACAACTTTGTGTCACTTCTGAGTAATTTATGCTGCAACAACGTAGCTAACAGCATAAATCTGAATCTAGTTAAAAGCCGAAAACATTTCTGAGAGTCCTTGTGGTTTAGTATATGTCAGGGATTGGTACCAGGTATCTGTTTTGCAGGTGAAGATTCCCTCCATGAAGGCTTCTGGGGGCATCCACTTGACTGGAAGCATGGCACGACCACCTTTTCTGTAGTAGCTAGCTCTACAAAAGAAATGCATCGCTGTCAAATTCAAGAATAGACATTCAAGTTTAGCTTGAAATATAAAGTAAATAGAAAATTGAAGCTAAATATTACAAAATACGAACCTGTAAATGTCTCGAGCCATACCAAAGTCTCCAATCTTAGCCACTCGGTCTGGTCCAGAGCAGGTAAGAAGGCAGTTTCTAGCAGCAATGTCTCTGAAAAACATTCAGTCTGTTACATAAAGTAGCTTTATGATGGCACACAAACTCACCTAATTCTTTGGCCCTATTACACTTCAGCATTTGCTGCTTTACCAAAATATGATGTATAATTAAACTTTCTCCATTACAGACCTACTGAGGGAAAATATTTCCCATTACAGTTTATGAAGCATCTTCTACATGCTGTCAGAGGCACCAAACATCTTATACTGTAACTGTGTGACTGCATGGGGAGCAGTTTGTCCAATTCATATATTTTTAGACCTCTCATATAAGCTCAAAAGAAAAAAGGAAATGTTTTTGTTTGGACCAGCATGAGACAAACTGGAATTAACACGTAAAGACTGTCTCCACAAACCAGCGGGCAGCCATTTCATCTCTGTGCTGATGAGCCCTGATTTGACTTTCTACCCAGACATCACAGTCATCTCCAACAACAGGATGTGAGTCTCCACCTGTGGATGAACTGGTTCTCCTCCAGGTAGCGACAGCCAAAGGCGATGTCTCTGGCCATCTGCAGCAGCTCCCGCATGATGAGTGAAGAGGTCTGACCCTGGATACGGCACAGCTCAATTAGGCGGGCCACACAAAAACACGCTCAGATGCAGGTGCTGCTGCTGGGACCTACCACGCGGGGTCTGTTCTGTCGCAGAAAACTTTTCATGTCCCCTCCGGTCATCAGCTCCAGCAAGATAAAGCGGGGCAGTATGTTCAGACTCACCCCGATGCAGCGAACGATGTTTTCATGGCTGAACTTACTGGACAACAACAACAAAAGGGAAAATAAAGAGACTCATCGCGCACATGTAAATGCATATCCTCACTCGCCATACCACCTCGTCATTTAAAGCAGGCAGAATGAATGAACACAGCTTCTGATGTAATGCCAATGCAGCATTCTTTGAGCACCTGAACTTCTGAAAAGCTCAATTTAAAGTACTATTTCACATCAAAGAAACAGCTAAATTAATACGTTGACCCGTGTCTATCTCAGTAAAATGTATGGACTCTGTAAACATACAGCTTTGGAGAGTCAGCTTTAACAGACGCACAGGGCGGCTGAGTGGGAACAAAGTCACCGCCGTGTGCAAGTGTGTAGTTTGGCGCACCTCATAATCAGAGCCTCCATCAGGAAATCCATTTCATCCTGTTCAGAACAGATTTCTGGGAGAGTCTGTGTAGCAGAAGGGAAGAAAAAAAATCAGAGGCTCAGCTTCAAGTGTTCATGCTATTGTCAAGGGGAACTACATCACCAGACTTAATCAGGATGGCATTGAAAAGCTGGCTCACCATGTAGAGCGCCCTCACTCACCCCCCATTTTGAATTTTTTTATTTTGCTTTTTTTTGTTTTTCATTCCGCTGTAATTTCTTGCCTTAATAAAAGTGTCTACATTGGAACTTTGTTATCAAAATTGTAAAAAAAAACAACAACAACCTTTTTCACATCAATGAATAAACAAATTCAAAATTCGTGGTGTAAACTGACCTTTATGGCCACCTGCAAAGAACTGCCATTGGGACCGATCCCCAGAACTTGTCCCTCATAGACTTCACCAAATGCTCCATGACCGAGAGCCCTGAGAAAACCCAGCAAAGAATGTGATTGGAGCTGCACCGGTACATCTTTATTATTTCTTATCACGACCTGTCAACCAGTACCTGAGAAGCGTGATGTTTCTGCGTGGTACTTCCTTCAGGTCGGTGAGTGAGGCAGCTTTGCCCGCAAAGCAGTAGTTTGGGTTGTAGTCTGTCATGATGGTGGAGGAGCGGATCTTGCTCAGCTTGTACTCGGGACTCTGCAGACGCCCCCTCACGGCATGCAGATCGTTCTTCCTGCGGTAACACACTACAAACAAAGACAGGAACAGAGGACAAATCAAAAAGTCTGAGAATTCTAAGAAAAATGAACCCACAAACTCACACCTCCACGCAACCGACAGAGGCAACTTACAAAGTGTAGGAGCACTAACGCAAGGAGGGATCGTCTCAGTGGTGAAAAAAATGGTTCACAGACATTGCTTTTGCTCCTGAAAGAACACTCATGTGATTAAGCATTGCACACCTCCCGATTATTGGGCTTGCCTTGATCAATTTGAACCAAAATGGATTAAAAAAAAACCCAACTCTGTGAAAATCACCGAAACTCTCAATTAAAAAGACTCGCATTGTGTTTGGTATGGACCCTCCTTGGTTACTGCTCCCAGCTTATCTGTGCCAGTGAGTTTAAACTCACCCGCCGTGGAGGCAGCCCATGTCCCCGATGCAGGTTGGTAGTCTGCCAGGGAGGGGGAGTTGCGTGCAGGTAAGAGGTGTCGTGGAGCCATCGCCCGGTGCAGATGCGAGGGACTTGGCAGGGGTGGATCAGGGAAAATTTAAGGGGGAAATGGGGAGGGTGAGGAGGAGGAGGACGAGGAGGAGGAGGAGGAGGAGGAAAGGAGGAGGATGGGGAGGAGGATATTGGGACGGCCAGTGTACAGACTACCTCCCTGCATGGGGGAGAGCTCAGGTGGACAAACACTATTACATTGTTGGGTGCGTGAGTGTGTTTTGCTTCCATATAAATAGCCAATGATTTAAAAAAAAAACTTGAATGAATCAACCCCTTTTTATATTTTAAAAGGTTTGAAAAACGTATCGCACAAGCGTCATTTAGTCTCTGGTTTATTTACCTGAAAAAGCAGACATTTACACACAATACGATGAATGAATACATCACACTAAAGAGCTTATGTCTATTTAAGCACCTTATCTGTAACCAACCCTGTGTTGAAAACAGAAAAACAGAGCTTATAATCTTTAAAAGCCTTTTATCCTAATGGCGGATATCTGCCATCTACCACCACCACTGATCCAAACCTTAGCTAATTGGCCTGCTCCCTGTTTGAGCCATTCCCAAAGCCTTTTTATTGCCTGAAAGAACATAATTTGTTTGACCGGATCACTGGACGGATCAGAACCCGCCACACTGGGAAATTCCAAGCTCAGCGCAGACACAAGAAGGTGGATCATGGACCATACATGCCAGGAACATTCCTTGAAATTGAGACTTTGTAACTGGCAGCCAGTCAGAAGCAAGGCAGGAACCATCGAGTTACGTTTCCACCAGAAACCTAAACTGATGGACCAAGACGCTGGAATTGAGGAAAAAACGTCCTAATGTAGAACTGCTAACAACGTCGAGCTTCACTGATCTTGTGTGTGAAGAAATGCCTTCTTGGAAAATAATTGTGGTCAGGAGATACAAAGATTGAGTTGTTGATATCAAAGTTCAATCCCTTGAGCATCGTACAAAGTGTTAGGTGGAGAAGAAAAAATCTCGTTGTTTGAAAAAAGTGCAAGTTAGGGAATTTATTAGATTTAAGAATTGAATGTAATAATTAGATTTCCTGAGGCAGTCTTTCATAAATTGGCATTTTATGACTAAACTTAATGAATGTGATAGACTAGACTCAATGGGTTCGAACTGGATTCCAATTATACGGATGCAATTGCATAATAATTAATCTCCGTCACCCTTGCCGAAAACAATGTAAAATGCTGAATGATCATTTTGAGAAAAAAAAAAAAAAAAGTAGAGACAATCCTATTTTCAAAGATAATATGTAGGACCAAACAAGACGGGGGTATAATTTTCCGTATAGGTATGCAGGCCATTATATTCTTGTTTGCCCTGCAAATAATTTGCAACCAGAAGTATTAGAAATCTTTCTTAAACTATTTAAATATCAATGCAACAAAGGTGTACTTTCCTTGTCACTCCCAAGGTTTTTAAAAACTATGTTCTTTGAACACCTTAAAAAAGGACTTGTGTCAGTATTACTGGGTCAGCTGCAATGTCAGGATTCCCTTCTCAATTATCTGCTGCACACATTTGTCACAAAGGTGGAAAAAAAGTTATTTGCTGCAAAATCCCTCACTGTCCTATATAACTGCAAAATGACTGCACATCTAGATGATTGTAGTAGTGGTTAATTCAGTTATTAATAATGCTTTTGACAATATATTCTGCACTGCAGCTTCTTCTGCTTTCAGTCCTAATACATTAATAACCTATAACATTATAATGTTTAAAATATGACTAATGCTCAGTTTAAGGTGTAGCTTTCTGTTTTGCTTATGTGTGCCAGCGCTAGCTTAAAGTCATTCAAAAGGTTAATTGTTAATTCCCTAATTATTCCTATTTCAACCTCTATCCTTGCGCCATAAACATCAGTAAAGCACATATGACTGTCTAATGTTCATAGATTAACTAAACCCTATAACTATATGTACCATTGTTTATTCGATAAGAAACAGGTACCCACTCCCAAAAGTTGTATATCACAGTGCTTTGTGTGGACAGCAATTTGCTGCAACACGTTCATTATTTCTGCTGTATCTTGGTATTTCCATGACTGAAAGGCTGTTCAGAACCCTTCTGTCTTTCCGTGCAATCTTAAATCTTCATGTCCTCACAACTGTGGTTGTCTTGAACTATGAAGCCAATGAATCATAATGGCTGACATTTTGTGCTATAACGTCCCACTGATCAGCATGCAGGTAACCAACAGAACTTTGTTTTTAAATGTCAAAGCTTTCTCTTTGGACTTTTTTATAGTTTCCTGGTCACAGATATGCGGCGAGATGTTTACATCACATCTCAATGAATTCATGCTTCAGTCAGAGCAATCGTTACATTGCAGGCACTAACTGATACACCCCCCCTCATCTGTAATTCATCTCATTCAAACCTCTTCAGAAAAATCTACAGAAAGAGAGCATGACATAAGTGCTGTAAAGTGTTCAGGCTGTGTGCGCCGTCATGACCTTCCGTAATCAGTCAGTTCATTAACACAATCAAAGTTGCTCTAGCTTTGCTGTTAGTAACATCTGGCAGCCTGTGTGCGTCCAGCTGTGATCACAGCCGGTGGAACGTGGAGGGCACAGACTGCGCACAGAAGTGGAGGATTCTCTTACTGAGGATAATGCCGACCAGGGCCACGCCGCTGGCCAGGGTGGCGACCACGACGGCCAGGATCAGTGACGTGGACAACTGGACTCGAGGCTCATCTGGGGGAAGACCATAGGTTGAAAGAGTTAGAGATGTTTTGTGACTTTGGCTTGGAAATAATTTTCAGGGGTTTCGTCACTTCAATCCAACTTATCCCAAACAAAAAGCGGCATCTCGTGCAAAAACTCACCTACTGTACTGAAACAGGTGACGTTGTCACTGGCGAGGAATTCATCGTCGTCACAGAGACAGAGGATGAGGAGAGTTTCTTCCTCTTGTCTGCAGTTCTGAGTCTGGCAGTGGCTGCAGTTCAGCTTCACCCTGATCTCACACTCGCCATGGCCCTCCATGGCTGTAAGGGACAAGTGTTCATTAGCTGTGAGGGTTTCATGGCAGACTGCTTCATGGTCATGGTATTTTCCCATTAAGCAGTGTAGCTCAGTTTGTTAAAAAAAAGTGTTGAAATTTCCATTTGCCATGAGCAATCTCTCTTGGGTTTGCCCATGTCTGTCCTACTCAGTTTCCCAGCCTGATAACCATAATGATTAATATGCTTATTCAAAGCTCGTGTAAACTCTGCACCTCTCTGTATGACCCCTCTGAGTTCCTCTGGACAGCTAGGAGGGGCAGCTCATGTGGCTAAACTCTTCAGGACGGTCTGACGACCTTTATCCCACTTTTTTTGTTTGCAAACTGAGATAAAATCAGGAAAGTCCATATGACTTTCAAACTGTAAGATGAATGTGGTCCGATGAATGAAGGGGCTACACGCAAACTTAAAGGTAATTTTATTTAGTTCCTGCTCTTCTGGTTGCAAAAGCAACTTACATTTCTGATTGCAGACATCAATAAAAAGCATTGAATGAGCCTTTGCCTTAACAAAAAAAATCAGCTGTAAAGTGTTTAGCTGAATCGACACACAGTTTAAGAGGCACTGTGTCGACCATTTACTCACAAGAGGATTCACAGTGCAACTAAAGCCAGTGTCTTTAAAACTAATTTTCAAGTGTCAAAGACTTGTACTGCCACGTGTAACTCTTCTCACACGTGCTTTGAATTGGAAGAACATTGACACTTATGATTATTGGCAACACATGTACCATCTTCTGGTAATAGGACAGTAAGCACATAATCTATAACAGAGTATGTTCCGCTAAAACGGTTTTCTCCAAAACCACAGCTCATGGTTGCTGGGAATGATACAGACTCTTTCTAAAAGTGAAAGCTACCCAGGGTGATGACAGATCTGGGAAAAATGCATATTTCACAGTGTTTACTTTGGATGTTTTCAACACGTCAACATTAAAGAAAGTGATGAAGGAGGCATGTGGACGCTTTTTCTACAGAGGTGATTTGCACATTCTTACATCATGCTGAATGGCCTGAATTTATGCCTCTAATGCTGGGATATAACTTGGGTTTGAGCTTTCTGGTAAGTGAAAAATTTTGCAAATATTCACAACAAGTTTGAAATCACTGACAGCTGGACCGACCCAGTTTGTGTGGGTCTCTTTACCAGCCTTGTTCTTTGATCTCTTAACACTTTTCATGTGAAAGTTATGGTGGTTAATTATTTTGTGTTTAATGTGTGTTTACAGGGTTGTAAAAAATGTCAGAAAAGCTTTTAAAAACCATTACTGGATCTTCACCCATAGAGCTGAACTGAATTATGAAATTAAACTAAACATTTGGAGAAAAACAGAGCTCCATTGTCTTTTCACACTCAGTTCAAAGGGCAAACTGGAACATGCTATGTGTGTCAAATAGCAAACTTCACCCAAACGTAAAGACAAGGCTTCAATCTAACCGCATGGCAGAAAAATGTACTGACTTTTAAATTGAATTATTATATTTCTTTTCTGACGATGCCTTCAATGAGTTTCACGCTGCTGATCCAGTCATTGTGTTCTCAAAGTAACAACTAAACAGCCCCCACTGCAACAACAACGTCTTTCACAAGAAAATGGAGGTCTGTCTCTCGGCGCCTGAGGCAACAGGCTGCATGAGGCTAGGAATTAACCAACCGCCTTCCTGTTCCTTCTGCTCAAGTAATGAGAATCAGATGGCTAGTCGCACCAAAAAAAGAAAACAGAATACTCCATATATTAATACAGATGTGTGGATGCCTCACTGCTTACACAGATAAACACGGTTTTTAGAAACATTCCAGCCACTTTTGTTATCTACTTGTGATCATGAATACTTGTTGTAAATGCCTCTGTCTTCTATCACCTCATCAGTGTAGCTCTACTACTGGGACAATAGTGCATTCTTCAGCTCATTCAAAGACTCCCGCACATTTTTTCTTCCTGTCCTTTCATCTCAAAGTGAGCTTGGTTTTATCTGTCGAAAGAATTTCGTTCCAGAGCCGGCCTTTCTGATTAAGGTGTTAAGGAGCTATCTCCCGTTCGGTTTCAGAAAAGGTCTGCGCATTCAGGTCAACCTTCGGGATATACTCTGTGAAGTCTTATCTTTATGACAGACACAAATGCGGATTACTGACCCCCCCGAGGGCCGTTCTTCACTTGGCTGGATGACATTACAGGCAGTTGTGATAAGAAACTCGTCTTTTGGTTAACGACAAAAATGATGCGGCACAGATGTCTACAGATGTGGACATCTGGACATTTTATGTTACAGGGCTGACTAATATAAAAATATTTTGTTCTCACTTTAAAAAAAAAGGAAATTAAGTACATAAATCCTTAAATAATTTTGAGTATTTTTGTGAATTGTCTGTGTTCTCATCTTAAATCCAAATCTCTGGAAAATAAATAAACACCAGCAGGTATTTTTTACCTGCTGCTCCTAATGGCCCTCATGGAGAATAGAGAGAAAATACTATTTGTTTTGTGTTTTTAAACCTTTTGACAAATCATTACACAAATTACACACACATATATGTGCTGGAGTCACACCTGCTAAAGGCTGGAGGAAAATCTCTCCCATTGGATGGATGAAAGAAACTCCATTCTGACCGTCAGCTGTGATCTCATCTGTCAGAGCAGCATCACCTCCTGTCAAAATAAAAGAAAAAATAATTCATTTCCATTCACTAGTAAAGTACATTTTATTTAACATTGGAAAAATAAACTCGGCCGCACAGAATAACCACAAAATAGACAATAAAAAAACCATTGTACATCTACTATAAAAGTATACCAAATGTTCTTACCTCTGTATCCCCCTCCACCACCTCCAGCTGTGCAGGCTCCCCCTCCGCCTCCGAAACCCCCAAAGGTGGACCAGCTGAGCTTTGACACAGCCAGGGGACATGAAGACCCCCCCAGTCCACCTTCCACCAGAGATCTGCCTGCACTCAGGTGAGGACTAGGGATGTCCTTCCAGCCGCCACCTCCACCTTTAGGGAAAAAAAGCCCCACACGACTTTGCATTTCAGATATTACCTTTTAAATATTCACGAGGATTAAAAACATCCATCCATCTTCTCTACCACTTATTCCTAGCAAGGCTGTGGGTGAGCTGGAGCCTCTGCACAGAAAGGCCCGGGATTGGAACCAGGAACCCTCTTGCTGTGAAGCAACAGAGCTAACCACCACACCACTGTGCAGCCCTGGATTCAAAACACGTCTGGCTGAAATAATCCACAGAGACCGAAGTATCGTGACTGTCTTTTCCTTTTATGTATCGTACACAAACTGATTTTCTTTTCTGAATTGGTAACATTTTCTTATCTAATCCCACATGTTTGAGTTAGGTTACTTAAACCTTTTATAGGACCAGTTTTGCCCCTCGTCTTGATTCTTAGAAACAGAAAAGACAAACATTTTAGAGACAGTGACAGCACCATCCGTGAGTCACTGGGGTTACTGATGCTTGCAGTGTTAACCGTTTGTTTGGTTCACACCAGAGCAGTGACAGCTAATACAGTTGAAAGAAGTGGCGGCAGAGGAAATCAGCTGGAGACAGAGCTGTCTGTCTGCTCCCCGCTGAGAATCAGACTTCATGCAGTGCGTTAATTCCTGTAAGGTAAGATCTTCCGATAACAAAGAAGCGCACTCTTGTCGAGCCTATAACTCGCAAGGCAGTAGAATGAGTCACATCGACCACAGACGCACAGCACAAACCAAACTCGTTAGATGCCAGTGCTGAACTGGTTTTTGGGCAGCAGGAGGTCAACTGCAAAGATTCAAGCCTTGAATTTTGAGGTCAAATACTTCACAACCCATCCACTTAGACACTGATATCGCACAAAACCTCAAGTCACATGCTTGGTTTTACTTGAAGTATTTATGGTCACACAGCGGTTAAATACGAGTTTAGACTCTACTGGTCACAGTGAAATTACTGAGAATGTTTCAGAGAACTTTTTTGCCCTGCATGTCCTGTTTCAAAGGTCAAGACTGAGTTAAAAATGTGACCCAGACATATCCATTATCCACACTGTTATATGTGTAAAAATACAGGACAAACAAATCCTTTTTTCGTCACAATATCCAACACAGGATAGGGCTGTCTGGTTGAGAAATGGAGATGTGCTTTCAGCATCACACAGTTGTGTGGATCTGAAAATCTGAGTGGCTCCGGGTTACGACACATTCTTTACTGGGACATTAACAACCATTAGATAATAAAGGATAGATATGAGGCGATCATTCATGAGAATAATCAGGAATAATAACTATGTTTCCTATTTCTGAATACAAACACCACTCACTGTAATGAATGCAATGCAACAAAGAACAACCCAATGTGCCCATTGATCACATTTTTTCAACTCTATTCAGTGCTATCCCCGCTAATCTTATCAATTTAGCTGGTGTTATAAAACAATTTTTTTTTTACAGAGTAAACTATTCTGAGAAGCCCCCCTAAATCAATTCATCCAAGAGGCAGTGAAAAGAAAAACCTACATGGAATTATTGGAACAACAACGAACAATTATGGAATCAATAATAATAATAAAAATCAATAATTATCAATTATTGTGAATATGATCATCTTTACATTAGTTGTAACAAAACCAATGCAACACAAAACTGAAACAGTTATCTGAAGAAGAAAACTGGATTATTCCCTCTTTCTTGTTTGGCTGGGAGACAGTGATGTGGTGATGGGAGGACAGTTTGTGAGCCTCTACCTGCTGCTCCGGTCAGACCGCTGGTGCTGCGTGCGTTAGCGTTGTTTTCATACTCTTCCAGTGGTATCTCGATGAGACTGGACTCAGGGTCTTCCATGTAGGCATTTCCTCCTCCGCCGGCTGCTATCAGCAGAGGAACCAGCTCATCGCCCTCCCTCTGACAACACAGAATTAGAACACGTCTAAAACTGGGAATTTTCCCACACATTGCTTATTAAAGACATTCACCTTGACCCAGGTTGTGTTGATATTTTCTAACTGTGAAGGAGGGCATAATTCCAGAGTCTCTTTCTGAACCAAAGTGTTTAACCGCTATCTCAACAGCTGGAACTGGATGTGGCCAAACATTCAGGCCCCTACATTTCAACAACGTGCCATACATTTGCAGATAAGAGGGTCACAGTTTTGAATGAACAAAAAGAATCTTCCGCCACCTTAAAGATGAAAGTGGCTCCTCCCCCTCCGCCTCCTCCTCCAGCCCACTCTGCACTAGCCTCAACCTTGAGGTTGTCTTCAATCACAGATGACTCTCCGAGACAGATCTTCTGGGTGAGGGGATTTCTCTGGAGAATGGGAATCACAAACAAGTGTGAGATTAAAAAAAATAGGTGTCTTCACACAAACGAGCGAAATGCAACTGTATCTAGGTCACTTTAATCTCTCTTTGGCAATAGACATCCCAGTGGGACATTGCAGATGTCAGCCAGTTCTTCCGGCCCGTCCTCAAACTCAGCCTACTCACCCCTGGACATGCATCTTCCCCCTGGTGGCCCACCAAAATGTAAAGAATGTCGTCTTTTTCCAGAAGGAATATGGCAGATATAAACACCCCATGGTTGCGTTTGTTGTGATTTTTGGCTCCCTTTCCTCCTGCAGCCCCATAGGCTGAGATCCTAAGGGAGACAGTTTCAACACAGGAGAATTAAAATGGAACAGAAAGAAATTGCTTTTTGGCATCAGGCAACCACAGTACATCCAATACTGGGTAGATAAGCTGGTATACACACGAACCTACGGCCGTACGGAAGATGTTTTTCATTAGCTCCAAAAAACCTTGTAAAGAATTCTACTTACACATTCTGTGTTAAATACAATTTAACTCACTTACTCACTTTCATGACATACAGCCTCAGTTATTCAGCAGTCTGTAAATCATTTGAGGAACTCCAAATCTATCTTAAATAGAAGCGCAAAAACACCGGAAATACTCGAAGGTTTAATTTGGCTAGATTAGAACCATTTGCACCAATTTCATTTTCATCACAAACCCATCGATACACATGACCTCAGTCACATCCTGTAGTTACATAAACATACATATGGATTCTAAATAATGACAAAGAGAGTCCAGTTAAACAAATCTGACAAATATATAATACCTGCACATGGTTATAAGACCTGGTCACGTATTTATTCAGGGAAATTGTCCAATGATGCATATTTGAGAAAGACAGCAGTATGCGAACCTCCAGGATTAAAGTTAATAAAGTTAATTTTAAGATGATGTTAGTCAGATGTTTTAGATTAAAGGGATGACATCAAGTGTGAGGTCAGTTTGAGCTCCTCAAAACACGTCTGCACAGACTTGAGCCACTTGCGGTTTCATGTTGACTTCTGAGGGCCCCAGAAAAAACATTGTCAGTCATCTCTAAAGAGTTTGGACTCTATCCATAATCAGACAGATAGTCAAGTATTTCAAGATCTCTCATCTACCCCATGAGAGGTGTAGAAAATATTATTCAATATAACATGATAGCTTGTGCACAAAGAAATTTAATTCAAGCCAAGCGGCCTCATCCCTTTTGTTACAATGGGATGAGGTCGGTGGGATGGTAGTTTTATAGTTACAGGAATTCCTCCTGAGTATCTTCTATATCAACAGAAAGCAAGATGTTCACTGAACTAATTAATCAATAGTTGTTCAAAATTGCCCAGCTTTCTCCTCTGCCACTTACCGGTATCGGTTAGTTGCTGGCACCTTCCACATTTGGACACCTTTTAAGGGACCTTCCTTCCCCACAGTGACGCTGACATTTTTGTTCCTGTAGGTACTGTCGCACTGAGCTTGGGTGGGGCCGTGGGGTCCACTGGCCCCGCACGAGTTGAACCACCACTCCATCACAGGAGCCTCTATGAAAAGAGAAGGCTGAACAGTTAAACACAGGCTAACTATAAGTGAGTTGAGAATGAACACACAATCTGGTGTGATTGAACATGGTATAGATTTCAAGCTTCTTGTCAGCAAATGTTCTGAAAATTCTGAAAAAAAAGGTCATAGCTTGGACTTTAATGTACCTGAGACTGAAGGCTCTGGAAGTGGGGTCAAGAAATCTAAGTCAGCCATTTCCATGAGAGAGTTGATATCTGAAGACAGGCAGGAAGCAAAAGTTGTTAAAGAAAAAGAAGAGAAAAACAATCACTATCATCTGGTTTTGACATTATTATACTTTTTTAAAAGAATCCAGCCAAAAGATAGGAAATGTGACATCTAGGAAGAGATATTTTCTGAGATGATGTGAGTATATCTCTGTTTTTGCCATCTGCTTTCACAAGCTGACACAAAGGATCCAGTCATGTCATGTTTTCTGCTTTGGACGGATCCAGAACAAACGAACAAGATAGTATCTAATCCATGATAAGAATAGGTCGAGTTTAAATCCTGATGAAAGGAGTTTTGAGACCTCGAAGAAGACCCACTGGGCCATACTTTAAGGAAAGAAAAAACACACAATTCCATTTAAAAATGCATTATGGTTGTATTGTTTAAAGCCATCTTCAATCATTTGCATAGATTCAATTACCGGGTATTTGTTTAAATAAATAGAGGGATGTGAGGGAGAATGTGACCTGTTCATCTTTTAATCTTAGTGTTTAATTATTCTAGGACAACTTTTAAAAGTCCCACTCCAACAGTAATAAATATGAATATGAGTGAATATGAGCTTCTTTCAGTGAATGGAGATGTGTGAATCTGATAATCTGACAACACATCTATGCACCCAATAGCATTCAAGAATGAAATACAATGCACTCGGTTACATTTTTCTAAGCTTCGGTTCATTCTTGCCTTCCCTGGTACACCCTGACAGGTCACCAGTCCAACACAGAGACAAGTGAAACCACGCACAGGGTTTAACATGCCCTAACATGAATGTTTTTGGATGTTGGGAAGAGAGTACCCACCCATGGAGAGGAGACCGTGTACAGTCCACAAAGAAAGCTCCACACTCAAACCAAAAACCTTGCTTTGAGGTAACGGTTCTGCTTAACACCAGCCCCTCTTGTTCCTGTGGAATGTTTTTCTTGAGTTTTTATTTTCACTAATGTCGGTGACATTAAGGTTCTATGGTTGGTTTCACTTTAAGCGTACAGTTTTTATTTCCTAGGCCCATGTAATTTTACCCTATCATCTTTCTTCAACTTAATGAGGTTATGTGGAACTGCTTGTTGACATACTATTGGAGATAATTTCTATTAGTATCAAACCAGTGCCATGAATTTGTCCATTTATTGATGATAAAGTGTGTGTGCTGATCTTTGCCAAACCTTCCCCTTGGGCCAATATCCTAAAACTTGATTAAATAACAAGAAGGTTCAGGATCTGAACATTACAAGTCTCTCCTGTGCAACAACATCCCAAAAGAGAGTGAGGCCGTAAATGTAATGGGGGAAAAATATCATGTTATGGCTTACTAACGTTATCGTGGGATCCTGAATTAATTTCCGGTACCCGTTGGAAAACATTCCAGTCTTGCCAAACTAGAGCAGGACAACAGCCATACAGTGTGCCTCCATGGAGGTTTTATGTTGCCTCCTCCTTAAATCACGGACAAACAAAAACAGACCATTCACATCTGTGCATCAAGTCAAGCACAGAAGAGTGCTGGTAAAAGTCTTATTTCACAACTATGAGAACCACAGCCCAAAGTGCAACATGACAGACACTGGAATGTTGTGTTGCGGTACTGGATTTGCAGCAAATCATTTAGCATTGGTAACCCTCATGTCACAGTCAATCTTCAAAACAAGCCATAACACAAATGATAGAGGACCGCTCTGTGCGAGTCTGGAGGACTCTGCCGTTTCTCTGCTGTCCAATCTGCATTCGTTTGATTTCGTAAAGAGCAGAAATCATTTTGAAGTCTGCCTTCGAGAACATTTGATCAGTATTGTATGCTGGTGGCATTAAAATCGGGATCTGGTGCGCGTGTCACAGCTCACCTTTGTGGAAGCAGGCTGCTCCAATCGCAATGTTGTCGAGAGCAATGTCAGCACTGGAGCCTTCCCCCCACACAGCCTGTATCTTCACATGGAACCTGGAGCAAAGCAGGTGTGTATCAGCACAATAAAGTCTTTTTTTTTATATGAAAGGAACTGAATTAAATTTTAATGACAACAAAAATCATCTAAATCCAAGTCAAAACACCAGCTTTGATGTAGACTAAAAAAACGTGAGCTGTTTGTGTATCCTGAACTATGATAGACATCATTTACACATCACAGTTTTAACATGAGGTCAATCGTATCCTAACTTAAGTGAGGTTGGACTTTGGTCATTTCATGTGACACAGATTAATAGTTTTTGACCTGCATACCCATGATTAAGTCCAGTCAAACCCACTGCAACTGACTCCCAGTCGTCTGTCCACTGAGAATGTGTCTCCCAGACCACGGCTGCAGTGGTGCTCCCACTTTCCTCCACAGCAACTTGCAATGAACCATTAAAAACTCCATAGATGTAAAGTGAGAAATACATCTAAGAAAACCCAGAGGTTATAGAGGGTAATTATTAATATTTTAGACAAACAGCCGGCAAATTGGAAAGGGATAAAACAAAAAGAACAAAGGAAGCTGACCTTGCACGCAGTAGTTGAGACTGTAGGAGGAAAAGAGAAGCTCTGGACAGACGCTTCTTTAGGGGAACTACTCTCCCTCACCTGCAGGAACAAGAAAAGCCCTGGGGGTGCACAACAAATTATACACATGAAATTCAACCAGCCATATGACCACCTTTCCATTGTTATAACTATAATTTAAGCCATGAATTAAATTTCATCTTGCCAAACTTGATCATTATGCTTTTAAAGAACAACAATCCCGAATCATAAAAGTTTTGGCCGTGAGCATAAATGTATTCTGCAGCTGCATTTAAACTATATGAAGTCCTTGAGGTAACATGGGAAACTTCATATGGTAATAATCTTACTAGACACTCCTAGCTTCAGTAGGGGACAAAAGAACAATATATGAAACCCCGGTCTAATAAATTTAACGTGTTTTGACATCAACAAATGTGAGTTATGACAAGTAAATGACGTGATTTTTTCCATGCTTCCACTATACAATAATTCATCAAAATGGGAGGATATACACTGCAGGAATTCTAATAAAATTAGATGTAATTCATGTGCGCGGCACGCACACAAAAACACCGACCTGGTGTGCGCTGCAGTGTGACGCCCTGCATGTCTTTGTTCAGAAGCTCAACTCCTGCCATCCTCCTCCAGCCCAAGTGCTGGCTGGACGGAGACCAACCACATGAATTCCACTCGAACGAACAGTATGAGCCAAAGGGAAGAGCATCTGGGAGGGGAAGCAGATTGTCATCATTTTTCTCTGAGAAAGAGAGCACAGCTGCTAAAATATCTATCTAAACAGCTGAGTCCCGCTCATCTCCAGCATAAGCACATTTCCCCCAAATTAAGTGAGCGCTAATCATGTGTTTAAGGACCCTCTCTTTTTTCTCCTGAGTGAACTTCCTTTGCTGTCTTTATTTTGGACCGTATGCATTCTTCTGAATGAAAAACTTTGCCATTTGTAGGTATGAGTCATGTACAGCATAAAAAAGACGAATGCAGCCACTTAGTTATTTGGATGCTGCAGTTTCTCAGTTTTGAGTGTGAACTCAATGCAGGTTAGGGATCTTTATGATCTAAAGTGATGCATAATGCTGAAATCAACAATGAGCCTTATTTTTAACACTTCTAACAAAGTCAGTTCAGCACTATGAATCTGAATTGATGTTGCTGAAAAGCTAGGGGTAAAAAGGGTATGAAAGGACCTCTGCTTATGTGAATGAGCCCTACAATACAAGTCATCTTTACCTTAAAGCCCCACAGTTTAACCAGACATTTTCCTTCTGAATCCAAAGTTATCTGTAAAATCCCTGTGTGCACCTTTAACAATACAGAGTTTATTTTAATAGCACTAACACAAGATTATTTTTACTAATAAAAGAATACCACATAGCTAGCTTCTTCCCCTCAGAACCCAAAACTGGAGGACTCTTAACAACCCTGATCACATTCACCTCATTACTGGCTGAAGTGCAGCCTTTTGATTCTGAGTGTGCTGAAGTGTTTTCTCTCCACAGAACAATTGACATTTTCAAAGAGAAGGTTGAAGATTGTGTGAAGTGGGTGGAAATAAAAGGTAGCAATTGACTCTCTGAAAACGCTTTTGAAAAAAAAAATCCAAATACATATACACTGTCAAACACTTCAAAAGTTGGGCCTTTCACATTCCTGAGAATACAATGGAATCCAATTCCTGCTCACGATGAGGAGAAACACTGTGTTGAACATTTTGAAGCAAGACAGAAAAGCATTCTGCTTTAGGATTTCTGCCTTTTACTTTACCCCCCATCACATGGCTTGCTAACATCTACTTTTGCTTACACTCTAAAAACTAAGCAAGTTTAAATCATGAGGATAAATCATTATGGGTGAGCATTTCTAAAACAAAGGGAGTTAAGCCTTTACCTTTTGAGATTTTAGTTAAGTGTCAAGTCACATGTTTGAACTTTTTTATTCCAGTGAGAACATCAAACAGTTTGAGGAAAATTAATTAAAAAATGAAGCCTCACCACATATATAGCCCTCGTCTTCTCCCAGAGGACAGTCTGTATGGAAGTTACAGACCTGGCTCTTTTCGATGCAGCCGTCTTCACAGTGAAAGGATTCCTCACATTCTGCATTCTGGTCCATGGCCCAGTCACCTGTGCCACACCAATCATGACGTCACATGGTGCAGGAACTGCCGCTCGTAATTTGAACAAAGTTTAGCGTTCTACAGGGTAAACCAAGCAGCAGGTCTTTTACACCCAATATGAAAATGCTTTGGGCCTTTCTTTAATTCAGACATTCATTTCGGGAGTAGTTTTGGATATTGTTTTAACAGTCAAAGATCAAAATTGCAACAAATTACTGTCATTGATTTCAAATATTTTTTAGCACATGAGTGATGGTGTGGTGGTCCTCTGCATGGGTTCTGTCCGGGTTCTCCGGCTTTCTCCCATTGTCCAAAAACCTGCATGTTAGGTTGATTGGAAATTATAAATTGCCCTTAAGAGTGAGTGTTAGTGTGCGTGGTTGTTGGTCCTTGTGTGTCTCTGTGTGGCCCTGAGATGGACTGACGGATCGTCCACCTCTCGCCCATTGACCACTTAGATATAATAAGCAGTATAATAAGCAGAGTACAAGAACTTCAGATGGACCGTCACAGGCAGGGATTTCATTGGCGTACATGACGATGTGAATCCAGCTGTTGGATGTGTTAAGGACCACAGATTTTTACAGAGGGTGCTTTCCCGTGTTTTAGGTGCATGGAAGTAAAAAATGCCCCAGGTGACCCATGTAGAAACAGGCTTTAATGTGAACTGGCAAACACAGCCCTGTACTGTTGGGATTGGATCACCCAAGACGCCTGTTAACGGAGGGTGTGAATGAGGCCGAAGAGAGAGCTTGGAAAAATAAAATATAAAATTGAATGTTCTTTTAACATGATTTGACAACTTTGTTCAAGGTTTCTAGCGATAAATGCAAATCAATGGAACATTTTGATTATTAAAACAAAGCGAAATAGCACATAGCAACAGTAGAACCATATAAATCCTGAGCAGAACAAACAACCGCAGCTCATTCCCGAAGTCTGCGTAAGGTTATATTGAATTCTTCTGTATCAAGAAACCACTTCAGTGTTATTCTTAAACTACCAGGGAAACCTTGACAAAATGGATTTTCCAGATGTGCCGCTGTGAGTCAACAGCAAGTTTTCAGTTTGCACAGCTGATTCCAACCCTCTGGTCTATTTGCAATAAGCTTTACCACATCTAGTATGGGCTGGCAATCTCTAAATGGAGCTTTACAGGGACACGAGGAACTTACCCAATTCACAGTTTCTGAAGTTCAGCGAGTCCAGAGCCATGTTGGCCCCGTCTTCCGTCACACAGTAGGTGTAGAGCAGGGTCACCTGAAAGGGCTGGTCAATCTGGCCAATCACAGTTTCGAGAACCTCCCACTCAGACCTGGATTTCCAAAGGAAGCAAACTAACTTTAAAACTTTGTATAAGAATTCCTGCTGCATGGCCTCTGTGGATACATAAAAAAGTATCTATTCCTATGTGGAACAATACTTTCCTCTTGTTTTTAACATCCTGGCAGCTTCTTTTTGTAATTCCTGAAATATTACTCATCATTGCCAGCAAGGTGGTTTATTTCACTCTGGAGCCGGGGCTCTTTGATTCGCTGGCAGCAACAAGTACCATCTGTGCATGTTTCTCTATGCTAAAAGCTCCAAAACTAAGACCAAGAAAATCTTTTGCTATCTATTTACACGTTGATGCTTGACAGAAATCTGCTCAGCCGTCATTGGAGACAAATAGTTTGTCTACAATTCATATTTCATCTGAGAAGCTTTAACTAAGCAGGTTTAGTTTTTCATAAATAATTGATTTAACTTGCACATTACATAGATTGTACCTACAGCCATATTCTTCAGTCTGCAGAAATATATTTGGCAGCACTACAGTGTTGTGGAACGTTTAATCTGTTTAACCTTGAACCAGTAAAGGCACATCAATTTTGTTAAGCCGTACTGCTGCAGATCCAAAGCTCAAAAGGCAAGCTTTAACGCACAGGGTTCTCCACCTGTCACTTTTCTTTATTGTGCCTCTTTCAATTTTAGCCTGACATGTGACTACTAATACGAAGCTGGTTCACAGCAGCACGAGCTGTCAAAGAGCAGGAATCAATGCCCACGTCACAAATCTACCAAAGAGTTCATCTTCATGAACACCTATTGCAATAGATTCAAATATGAAATTGAGATGAGTAATTTCCATGAAAGTAAGGTTTTTGTTTTTCCGAAAGGACAATTGCCATTGTCTCTATACAAGAGACTTCATAAAACACTCAAAACATGTCCAGTGTGTTTTGGTGACAGTGCTTTCACAATAAATCTGGGAGTTCCTTTTTTTTTTGTTGCATGAATGGCAAGCCTAAAAAATGAAAACACAGTCTGTGTGAGCATCATAATGAAATTGCTTAGTCCATTATTGTGGAGAGGCTAACAGAGCTAGCGTACAAACGTATTGCACATGCCCCTCCATCCCTCTTCTGTCTTCACCAATTACATCTAACTGAATCTTCAGCCTGCATCAAGAGACAATAATGCTTTTAGCTGCTCTAAAGACAGCTGTACTTCAGATCAATAGGAACCCCCCCCACCACCACATACATTTCCCAAACAATACGTAGGGGACTGCTCAGCCCCCCCCATCACCCCTGAGTCACAATCCATTCTGTCCCACTCTTTTTCTCCTCTTCCCAAAATAAACTTAATCAGTTGGAAACCTTCTGAAATGCACTGCTGCAAATACATGAACTGAGCAAACACAGAAAATCGTCCACATGCAACAAAAGGCTGGCGCAGTGTTTGCTGACCTGTGGCTATCTCGTCTCCTCTGGTTCAGAACCTCCGAGTGAATAGTTAACTCTGACAGAACAGACTTGATGAGCACCGTGAGGTTCCCCATCATCGGCCTGCTCTCATACAGAGCCACCTGCAAGGTGCATTTCTTCTCACTTCCAAGCAGGACGGGACTGGTTAAGTGGTATTCACATTTCCCAGAGGACTCAGCAGCAGCTGAGGAGCTGAGGAGAAGGACCTGCCCTGAGGTAATAAAACAAAGTAGAAACATCAAGGTTGTCACTTTTATAGCAGCTTCATAATCCTGTCGCTCCCATAAATAATCCAACAAATGATTTAGAATGAAGCAAATCTCGGCCCGTTCAATATATCAACTAAATGTAAGTTGGAACACAACTTGCCAAAAATGAAAGGGGGTTTAAACAGGCTCTTAATATTATTGTATTCCCTCTTACCATCGGGGCTTTCCTTGGAGTGGTCCGTGGCTGGCATCCTCCCAGCTTTTGTGCCCTCCAGCTGCCGTGGCGACGCCACCAGCCAATCACTGTGAGTGTCGTTATGTGATAATGTCCAGTGGCAAAGCGACTCAAAATCACAGGAGGTAACTGCACAGACATTAAAAACATGCAGGTCTTTTTACAACAGAAAAATCCTACCATTACATTTAAATAAATAGCTGATGTGATAACAAAGCTGAGTTTGATATTTGTTAAGTTTCGAAACTTTGAGACACAGTTGGTGACACACAGTGTCAAATGGGCCTTTTTTATGTAAATAAAAATGATAATTAACATGAATTTAAATAAATCATTACATTTACAAAACTTTAAAGAGAATTAACCGGGTTGTTTAACTAACCCCAGGAAAGGACTGGGGAGAATTCTCTGGGTTTATCTATTTGTTAGTTTTAATAAACTATGTTTTCAATGTTTCTGAAAAACCCTTGCAATGTCTTAATTTGTCTCACAACATTCTTATCTCATTCCGACCACAAATACTGTGTAATGTTCAGCCAGGACCCTTTACTAGTACATTTTCCAGCAAAGATGCACTTTTTCGTTAACAATGCATTGAAATGCGGAGAAACATGGCAAAAAGGATTTTCATTTGCAAGCGCCTTTTTACCATTCAAAAGTAAACTATCATGCACAGACTGCACACTAATGTCGACCACAACCCTGCACACTGATTAATGTTTGTCTGATGGATAACCAGTTAAACTGTGAGGGCGTTTTACCCAGTGTAACCTAAAGAATGGTGGGGATGGTGAATTATATTATTCATATAATGGACATATAATTAAGTTATTTTAATTAATTAGATTAAAAGAATAATCAAATATGTCAAAATGCATCATTTATCAAAATGTAACGATTGTGCGATTTCACCTCTTTGCCATATGGGACTGTGTTCCTAATAAATTCAACCTAAGATAAAAATCTATTCAATAGCCGAGCAGACCCTTTGTAAGCACTGAGTTATCGTGGGTATGTAAGGGAGTTTGATTAGCAAAATGGGAATGGAAGAGGCGTTCAAGACATCATGTGATTACTGAAGAGGAAACTGCCACCAATCAGGCACACAGCCAGAGGAATCCTTCTGGGTGTGAAGCCCAGAAAAATGAGCCCCATCATGAAATAATAATTTCACTGAAACCCACTTTCATCATTTTGAACTAACTAAAAATAACCTTCCTTTGATAATAAACTATCTTGCTTGGCCAAATTATTTTGATGGAGTCAGCACTCCTCTTGCGATCCTTTATTAAAATGTTTTCACAATCCAATAGAAGTGCTCCAACTCCTCAAGGCAAAGTTGCACTCAAGAGTTACAGTAATTTGTTTTTCAAGGTGGACAACTGCCAATTTAGCTCCACATTACTTATGTACGGTTTTTCATCTAATAAATGAGGAATAAAACATTCCTCATGACAAAAACGTTCCAATAAACCCAGTTGTGAGAATGCAAAGCAGGTTAGATGGAATGTAAATGATGAAACCAGGTATGCGGGTAAGAATGATACTTCTTTTTGTGTCACCACACGAGTAAGTACACAACTCTTACTTTGGCTGTCTTCCTCCTGGTGAGGCAGAGATCCATCTGATCGAATTTGGCAGGTATTGCTCACTGAAAAGAGACAGAGAGGCTCTCAGTAACAGGCAGTCATGCATACATTATACTGAGCATTTCACTGTCCTTTATAAAAAAAAAACACAAAGATGATGGAAATGGAAATTTCAGTCTGTTTTTATTAGCATGGTCTTTTTAAAGGTCCTTTAACATGTCTTCATAATCTTTTCCTAATCCTGTGATGACTTTTCTAACAGGGTCAAGGAAAAGAGTTTCTAAAAAAGGCTTTTAAAAACTTTTAACTGCCTACAGACTATTCAAATTGTTAACAGTTCTCATGTTTCAGCTGAGGCTGCCACTCAAGCACTCTATTTTGTTTATTGCACTTCCATGTTCACTTCCACATGTGTTCACCACACGTGGCAGTCTATTTCTGTCCTGGTTGACTTTTTCTTTTCAGAGAGTACGTGTGAGAGTTAGAAAGAAACACAGAGATGGCTGACAAGATAAATGTGGTAACAAAAAGAAACAAACAAAGATAAAGTTTACTTGCTGGAGAATGAAAAGACTGACTAGAAAAGGTCTGGAACATATTCGTCAAAGTCAAAGACTTTATCGTTTGATTTACAAACCAAATAAAGTTGGAACACTGTGTAAAAAAAACTAAACAACATAATGTGAAAAAAATGGATGCAGAGGTTTACAGTTCTCATTTACCAGAGGTGTTGCATCACCCTGGAATAAAGAATAGAGGGATCATCCATTTTTTTCATGAGTTCAAAAACTGCATCTCTCACGGTCTAAGGGCATATAAGTAAATTCTTAACTGCACATCTGTGAGGACTCCATGATTGCATTTTCATACAGATGTATACATATTTGTGTTTGCCAGATTTATACTTTGCTGCTGTAGAACGACAAAATATGTACGCTTGTACACATCCCATGCACAGCCTAATGAATTAACTTAGATAAAGTACATAGACATGGCTTTTGGGGGGTGGGGGGTGGGGGGGTCGAGTGCTCAACACGTGACATGACATTCAACCCACTAACTAGCATGACCAACAGACAATGAGGGAGATTATCACATCCAAGCGAGTCATTTCAACTAAAGCCAGTATTGGTTTCTGAACAGTGGAGGGACTGTTTTTTGGGGCCTGCAAGGCAAGGTCACACAAGTCAAGCAGGACCAATTGAATCATTAAAAAGACTGTTTATCAAAATCATTTAGTTATGCTAATGATAAGGAGTCAAGGGGGTCATTTAATGGTTACCAAACTATTCATTGGTAAATATGGAATAAAAGATGCTATGGATAGAATTCCTGAAAATGGAAACTGGAAAAAATTCAAAAAAAGAAAGGGGATTCAACCTAAAAAAAGCCTTGTATTAACTTAAAATAGGAGTTTTGGAAATTCCCACCTAAATTTATTCTCTGGCCATTTCCTTTTTTTTTTTTACAAGTCCGGTTTGAATCTAAATGAATAGGAGCAGACAAAAGACTTATATATGCTCCTTTCCTTTTAGAGTAAACAAGAATATATACTGCCAGCCTCATCCTCGACCACCGGAGCCCTGACCCTGATCTGCTGCGCGCTGCAGGCCCCTGAACAGAAAATGTGCTCATTGCAGCTGAAAGGGGGGGGGGGGGGGGCTTTGTTTAGTATCTAAAAACAACTCTAGATCCTCGCAGATGAGAGATGGTCTTAGTCTGGATGAAGTGATTCTGAAGTGAAAGTTCCAGAGGCGCCAAAAAGTCGTCTCATTTGATTATGTTTTAGAACAACGAGGCAGTACATCATCAATCACGTCCCCATTTCCCACCGTCTCATCTCTCTCCGTCTCCCCGGAGAGTTTGTTTCTTACTACTTGGAGCGGCAGCTTGGGTTGTTTACAAAGCTTTTTTGTAAAACTGTTACATACTGGCTGCTTATCAGTTCACAGAACCCTGGACCTTTAGCTTCAGAAAATCTCAGAGCAATTTTCTGTTGATAAAGATGATAAAGCATTTCATGCTTTTTCTGCACAGCCCTGTGTACTGAACGCAGGCTATTTTTGCATCAGTTTCAACATTTCATCCATCACATCTGTTCCTCATGCGCTCATGGAAGTGTTATAAGCTAACAAGCGTAAAGTACTGCCCAGAGCTAAATGAAGCCTGGCGGACATTAAATCAGAAGACTATATCTCATGCTTATGTAATTTATTTACCCTGTCTCCCGCTGTCTTCTCACTCCACGCATCAACAGGACGCCATCATTTCATCCTCCATTAAGCCAGTCAGATTTTGACACAATATCTGTGTCTGATCCTAACATTTTACTGCTGTCATTTCCAAAACAGTTCCTGCCCTCAGTCCTTTCAGCTGACATCTCACTGCCAGATTGATGCCACGCTGCTCTGACCCCAAGCCCCCCAAAACCTCTAAGCTGCCATTTTACGCGCATTACGGGTATCATGAATGGTCACCACAGGTTTCAGAAATAGCCCCAGAATTCAAAGTGACACCATTACAATGCGTGTTTTGTACAGCCAATGTCCAGAAACTTCTAAAAATATCAAAAAGGAAAAACAGCCATTTAAAGAGCCATTTTGTCTTTGGAAGGGTGTTTCATCTCTACTTACATATATACTGGAGTCCCAGTCAAGGAAACAATATCTTAAAGACAATCTAAATGCAAAGTGTAATTTGAAAATAGTTTTTATTAAGAGAAGAACTGACTCAAGACTCATGATGCCCATATTCTTCTTTTGTTGACGTACCAGTTGTGTTTCCCGGATATTTCCGTCTCACACATCCCATGAGCAGTTAAGGGGGAAAAAAGTGGACTGCTAAAGACAAGAAATACAGTAAATGGGTTTTTTGTGCCACACTTTTGACTTGAGCGATTACGTCTAATATTAAAAGCCTCATGGAAAATAATCATCTCATATGCTTCTCTGTGTTATTGCAATTTCCTGCAACCGTTAAATTATGAGGACACTGAAGTGTGCCTCAGAGGTTTTCCTTCATTAAGGACAATAGGAAATGTTCACTGTGAAACCTTTGCTCTGACTCATACTCTGTCTGTTCATAGGAAAAAGAGGAGGGCGTTACGTCAGCCACTAAAGTGAATCCTAAGCGAAACAATTCAAAGCCAAAATGTGCTGGGGATTTCCTTCTTATTGACCCTGAGGGTTGGGGATGAGCCTTATTGGGTGAAACAGTGCAGCACTGGCCCTGAAGTATCAAACCTGAAATTGCTGCCTGCTCTCCGATCCTTCTATGAAGTTTTTACTCATGTGAAAACCAGCATGTTCTTGGCTTCTATATGCACAGTTATCGTCCAGGTGTTTTCCCAATACATTTTCCGCAATACATTTTACCAACAGATTCTCTGTTTTTTGTGAAAAAAAGAAAAACGAGCTGAAAACATTCAACATAATGCACAGCACATGACGAAGAACGGTTTCTCTCCGGAGTGGAGCATCAACAGGAGGGTTGAGTATGTCGATCCTGTAATTGACTTCAATTAATAATTACTCACACTGGCATTGAGATAATGCTGTTTTGTTGTGTCATTGGTCTGCACTTGATCAGAAAATGTTTTGGAAGATGCTTAGAAAGCTGACAGAGTTCAAATTAAACAATCATAAATAGCATTATGATGCACTGAAAGGTGGCAAATGTGTACATCCAAGAAATTTGAAGGCAAAGCTGAAATAATTATTTTACATGTCAGTAAAGGAAAGCTGGCACAACTCTCCTATTTGAGTATATGTGATGTCTGACTTCACATGAAACCTTTAGATCAGGATCATTTACGATGTTAGTGTGATCGTGTGCTGCTTATGAAGCGCAGATAAAGACACAGCGTGTTCAGAAAGGATGTGGAACGCTGCTGGAGAAAGTGTGACCAGAATAAAAAGGGTGAGGAGAAGGTTGCATAAGAGTAAGATGATATCCGAGATAAAATGATAGGAGGAAAAAGGCAAAGCTTTGCTATCTCTGATATTTCCAACGAAATCTTTCGTCATTTCTGTGCTTTGTTGGGTCATTTTATGGGGGAGGATAGAGGGAAGGAGAGCAAAGCTACTATGAGCATGCCGTGGCTACAGCTTTGGGGTCCATTCAGGCAGTCAGCACTTTTCTTAATCTGACCCTCACCTCTAAAACGTCTCCTCGACAAGTGTTGGGAGGAAAAAGACTCACAGGGGCTCAAAATTGGTTTTTTTTTTGCCTTCACAACTGAGAGGTTGGATGTTGTTTCGATGTTATCTTTGCCCACATCTGCCTACAATAAGAGACGCCACATGTACACGTTTCGGGGAAAGATATCTTCTCCATCTTCCAAATCTAATTTTAAGAAGTTTCACTCATACCTTTTGGTGCACTAACTGATATGAACTAAACATTATCAAAGGTTACAGCCTTTCTTCTCAGATCTGAAATGTTTGTGTGCTAAATCTCACAACGAAAAGCTAAAGTCAAAAGTTATGAGTTCGGCTAAACTTTATTATTCTTAATCATTGATGGTACCAGTGGCTTGCCGTGAACGTTTATTTTAGAATTTTACAGTGAACTGCCTTTCTCTTTACTGTTGAGCAAGATGTCTCCACTTTATTTGCCATCATGCATACGAACCTCAGACTTTAATTAGTGACCACACTGATCTGAGGATTTTTGAAGAGAGAAAAATCCCACAGCAATATTCAACATTCATTATTAATATGGCCTGTTCAAATTATATTAAACACACAGAGAAGAATTACAGGAGCAGTTTTCTTTAATGTGCTCTTGGCAGGCTACAATTTAAAATAAATATTAAATTACCTCCTCTTTTAACGGGCTCATGTTAGTGTGTCTCTATGTCCAATAACCCCAGCTCTTATCTTGAAGTGGATTCTTCAGTTTACCTCCTCCCCCCTTTCTACATCGGAAACTGAATTCAATTTACTGGCAGAAATGTATAACAATGTGGATGTTATTTCCCCTCATTTCCCATCAAGTATTATCAGATGCAGCTACCATCCAAGCATTTACTCTATTAACAGTTCATTATTTATGCATTTTGCCCATCTTTCATCTTTTGGCTGCTTTTCAGACACTGCAACACACTTTTGTGTCCGTCTCTGTTCGGACGCCTGCTAAGAAGAAACAAAACCTCGGGATCCCCTCTCAGACCTTCATCCATTAAGCTCCAGCTGCATACACACACACTTATTTGGAGACAATCTGTACATACCAGCATGATCATGAACCAAAACTCTACTTAGCTCCACGCTCATGTCAGTCAGCCATTAGAGAACTGGGACAATAAACATGCAGATACAAAACTTGGAAATCCCAAAACACTCCCAAATTATCTTTAATGGGACCAGAGGTTCAACGTCGGCAAATGAAAGAATAATCATTTGAACAACATGGGAACAATTACTGACAGTCCTCATTACTACTGAAAATTAGAACAAGTGCTTGGCCTTTTCTTGGGGTTATGCCAAATATTATTCAATCAACAAGCGCTTATTGAGACCACAGAGTGTGTAGTGGTGTGTGCTGCTCTGATGTGCAGTGCACACAGTCACGTCTTACTCAGGGCTGTTGATTTGAGAGAAATTCAAGTCAAGAACCAGTCACTTGTAAAGGCTTTTATAGTGAGTTTCAGCTGGGTTTAGTGCTCCGGCTTTTTACTTTACTGCTTTGGCTCATTTTCACCGTGCCGCGAGCGAAGCATTTAGCAGCTGGATGTCAAATCAGGAATCGAATTTCATCCAGAATGAGGACTGTGGATTCAGTCTTTGATCATTTCAACGAGTCAAGCAGCTGGTCCAATGAGAGGGAACACGGGCTCACTCGTTGGGTTTGAAACCAGATGTAGTGCAAAGGTTAACAGAATAAAACAAAGAAAATAATTATTTTAATGGGAGAACACAACTTGACACCCGAATGAAAAATGAACTATTTCAGTGAAAAACAGCTGCAAACCTCCACAACCAAAAGGGAGAACCTCAATTGTTGCAGAGACTTTGAAAGATTCCAATCGCAGCGCTTATGAAAAATGTTTTTTTCAATTTAATGCAAACTGAAAAAGCTCAGCTGTAAGCTAAAAAATAAAAATAAAAACTCACCTGGTAAAACTCAGCTGAACTTTAACAAGAAACAAAAAGGCAGCAACGATTTTGTGCAACCAAGGGCCACATGTTAACAACTACAGAATGAAAGCTAATTAGGTTTGGTTGGAAGTGGAAGAGGAATGTCGAATTATCACAGGAACTGTAAACGTGCAGAAAACATCAGACTTGTCAACTACACTGTTGAGAGAATGAAGACATTCTGAGTTCATGTGCCTTAAGGTGGAAAATACAACATTTCCTGGTCAAAACCCAGGACAACTGTTCATCTAAATCCGGCAGAGATCCATCATTTCTGACTGTCAGGTTTTATATCTCCATCTGCTCATTTCCTTCAGAGTCTCTTAAAAACGTCTTCATTTTCATCCCTCTATTTCCCAAAGCCTGCTTTAGCAAAGTTTAGAACTTTGTATGACACATAATGTAAGAAATATTTTGGATCTGGTGCCGTGTTCATGTGAAGACATAGAACAAATGAAAAACAAACAGAGAAAAACCCACGCGGCTCTGTTTGTTACACAATTGTCCATGGAAACACAAACCCTGCTTGTTCTTTTCCTACCCAAGTTTTCAGGTTTGAAATGCCAAATGTTTTGGGACCATAGAGTCCTGTTAACCCAGAAAAACAGAATGAAATAAACATGTCTGCATAATCAGTTTCCATTTAATCCACATAAGTTCAATCAAACAAACAATTTTGTGTTTCCAGATGGGGAAAAAAGATTAAAGTAAAAAAAGAATAATTCGAGAGTTTTGAATGCTAAAATCTACTAAAGATAGAATATTATACACTTTTTTTTGTGGTTTTGAAACTTGTTGTACCAGTAAATGTGGGCCAGTTCAACACAGTGTGCTGAGTTACTGTCAGGCTAAAATGCTTTTTATTGTCATTTAAAGAATAGAGCTCACGTACTTCTCCAAGCAGCTCTTCAGGCCTGTGTCTAATTAAGAAAAACAGGACTAAGACAAAGCATACAGGTGGAGAAAGCTCCAGCATATCAGGCCTTTTATTTCAGTGTTCAAATCTCCACACCTAGAGGCCTGAATGCCCGCCTGCACCCAGATACACATCTGAGGACCCAATCATGCACACTGAATCAGGCTTTTGGCATTTAAGCATTAAGCCCCGAAACTTAATTTATGATTTAATTGGTTACAGCTGGGCTTCATTTAGCTGTTACTTTGTAAGACACAGCTCTTTTTTTCTACTCAGGTCGTGCCATTTAAACAAAAACGGAGTCTTTTTTACAATACCTTTTTGTTTTGTTCTTTTCTCAGTCAAGAAATATGAAGTTTTAGGAGTGCATGCACTATAATTTTATAAACATATTCCCTCAAGGTGACTTGGGACAATCTGGCTGATTGTGTGATTTTTATGAAAAATGTACTCAAAGCCTGACTGTGGTGAAGACTTTTCACTATACTAATGCAATATGTTTTTAAGATATATTCTTCATAATCATGTTGTGCTCAATGATGATGTTACAGACAAGGGAGACATGTAGAAAAATGTGAAAAGTGTCAATTTGGCTTTTGGTTTTTATGAGTAAATCCAGATATAAAATCCTAATTTGGTTTGAGTTGGAAATTTATCAGGGGTTCAGAAACATCTGTGACAGGCTAAAAATCTCACGCTGTGGTTCTTGAGAAAAATGTAAAACACACAGTAACATCGGCCAAATAAAAAGATTTGCCTGGAGAGAAGGAGGAACTAACGTTAGCCTACAGTTATTCCAAAACAGAACCGCCTTGTCTTCTTCGAATCAAAATCTTACAGCGTGTCAGACGCATCTGAACAAAGCCCTTATTGGTCAGGCTGCTCACATCCAATCACAAAAGAAGAAAAAGTTGGGTCACGCCGGTCCTATGTTACTGTCAAGTGGGTTGAGACAGAGCTCAGTAGCAAGTAACAAAAGAGGCACACGCTAAATTTTACCCACTCACAGGGATGTGTGACCCACATAAAAATACGGCAGAGATACATCACCCATTGTCACTTGGGCCTAATTTGCGAATCCAAAAAACAGAGCAAATCTGACTTCCCGGCCAAGAATTAAAGACGGTCCCTTTACTTTATCCTTAAAGAGAGTCGCCAAGCTGATGACATCACAGTGAAAGATCTATGGCCTTAATGAATCACAGACAACAGCAGGTTGTAGCAGGTTTTTAGAGGCCTAAAGCTGCATTCTAAACTTTAAGTATGGACGAAGGAGTAGATGTGCAGCCTCGTAAATCCACGTGTAACAGGCAGCAGCTATAACAGCAATACTATACTGATACTACTACTATGGAGGGTCAGTCACATGCAGCCACCAAAGGTATGCAGGTGTGCATTTTTTGTAATGCACTGAATGAAAGGAAAATACACATTAAACATGGATTGCTGATAATGTATTGTACAGTGAAGTTGTAAAGATGCATCTATAGGTGCCCCAATCAATAAGAGCTCAAGTCTATCTACTTTATGTTCAACTCTTGAATGAAATAGAAAAGTTTGACTAAATCAAAGACACTTGAAATTACAGCACTGCTTCACTACCAAAGATATTTAGTTGCCATTCGATAACTATGCATTTTTCAGTGCTCATTTATATGGATTAAATCTGTTTAATGTCATTTTAAAAAATAACATTACTAATTATGACAGAATACTTAAAAAAGATTTTCATTGAATAATACTCAATAATACTTGTACGAGTTTTTTGCAAATCAGATCTAAATATAATTTCGAATTGATTCATGTGGGATTACAGATGTCTCTTGGTAAATTTGCTTTGGTTAGGTTTGAGAGTGTATTCTGTGTGCCTTGCTGACAGCAGCACTTTCTGCTGTTAGAGGAGGTCTACGACAGTCACAGCAGAATAAAATTTACTTGCCACAGCAAATCACAAATTAAATCTCATGTATGTCTTACTGAAAGAGTATCTGCTGTGAAAATCGTCTTATTGCTCAAGAGAACGCCATCAGAATGTAAGACACTGCGTCTATCAGCTGACAAACAGTGTGCTAGCTCAACATCAGTCTGAATCACATTACAACATGAAATCACATCAGTCTAAATGAGCCCGTGAACTGACTTTCTTTACTAGGATCAAACAGGCGTTTTTGTGAAAAGTGTGCAGACCCCTCTGCTTGGAATTGAGGCATAAATCAGGCCACAAAGCTCCCAGTGACCGAACAGAGGCAGCGCCGTCTGGAGCGTGACACACAGCCTCAGTTTACCGGAATCCGGACTCCAGTCCTTTCAGACACTTTTTTTTTTCTTGGCAGCTTGCTAAAGTGACATTTCCTGCAGTCTGAGAAAAACATCCTTGAAAAAATAAAAACAATAACAATGTTTACCTGCGGTTTACTCGTGCACCAGCGCTGTAATAAAAAAGAAATTTCCATTTACAATGACCTTACTGTAAAAGCAGAATAAAAGCCGTCTGGAATCATTCAGAGGATCATCAATCCAAATGAATCTCTACTCTCTTCATTTCAGCTGTGCGACAGTGTTTTGATTCTGCAATATCAAGTTTTTCTCCCTTTAGAATTGAGACCCTATAATTCCTAACTTATTAAAAAAGGAAGAAAGAAACTGTAGAACAAAGCTGGTTGTTTCTTTCAAAACTGTCTTTCTTGAAGCAGATGAATGATTTGTTCTATTCACAGTTTAATTGTTGTAAAGGCTGTAAATATATATTTAATAAATAATTTAAAACACAGGATAATGTGTTTGCGGTTCGGAGGGATAATGGTTTATTTAACCAAACGGGATCCAGGGCCACAACAAGAGGAAATGGGTTTGTCCATCAAACAATTCTTCGCTTGGTAGTTTCATATGATAAAAATGTAAACAGATCAATGGAAATGTTTAACATTATATGTAATGTAAGTATAAAAAAATCATTTGTGTGGAGGTTTGACAAAAGAACTAAGGAAGTCTTGTTTTAGCTTTTTAAAAGTCTTGTTTTGGGTGAGTTGATTAGTATTTATTTATCTTCCGACATGGAAAACATGCTGGCATAATTCCGCCCCCCCTCCCCAGACACACTGAAGCTCAGGTTGCGTGGCCGAGTTAGCCACTGAAACCCAGGTTTGATGACTTTGGCAGAGCTGACGTTTGGACACGTGTATTTCAGTCTAATCAACTGGATTTCATTTGGATCTTTGCAGTCTCAGCTTCGTGAGTTTAGGTCATCTCTTTGAGTTTGGTCTGTTTATCTGGATAATTGTGATTCACCGGGGTCAGGAGCTCGTTATGTACTGCTTGGTATGAGACAGTACTTTAAGCGTTAAACACCCCATTTTAAAAAACCTGGCACTAATATCCGCTTCCAGAGTATAAACCCTCAGGTATTTTTGTTCTCCAAGTTATTAACAAGTACAAACTTAAACCTCACGATGTGCTGCACCTCTCTTACTCTCCATCTGGTCCATTTTACATGTAATGTACATAAGTCACAGAGCTCACTACGGATGGAGGGACAGGGGATTAATTCTAACTGTCAAATATGTGAGGCATGTAGTGCAACACCCTGAAACTTGAACTTGCTCACAGCAGAACGTCGGTGTGATGATTGGTGGATTTATGGAGTAAGTAATCTCTTTCAGACGACAAAAAGAGAGTCCAAATGTCTGTTTGAACAAGACATCACTCAGGCTTTCAGACGATGTGTCATAGTTCACGTCAGTCTCCTAAAATAAGGCAGAAATCTGAACAATCCCAGTTTGCCCCACTCCTATTTGACCCTCTCCTTAAAGGATGGGCTTTTGAGTGCAGACTCACCAGAAAAATTACAATGTACCTTCAACAGTTTAACACTTCACTTCGGGCCAGCACACTTATGTGTTTTCTCTTTCTTTCTTTCAGACGGTATCTCACATGTTTTCGGCCATCTCTTTTTTTTCTAAATCGTTTGAACTTGCAGAAAGACTAAACAAAAAATCCTTGAATCCGACTGGCTCGGCGTCAACTCGAAGACTCCCTTAAAAGTGAGCAAAGCACAGCTGGCCGCTCATCTGTCCGCTATCCTACCAGCAGAGTGACGCCCCCAGCTTTGATCCTCCATCCCTCTCTCTTTGTGCCAGCTGTGGAAACATCATTATACCCCAAATACACCTGAGCAGCAGACATTCCACTCTCATCCACTACCTTTATTACAGGGACACAGGAGGGAGCGCTCTCTCTTTGTGTTACGGACTGTTCCTGGCTCAGGAGGTGGACAACAAGAAGTGAAAATAGCCCAAAGTAATAACACGAAACGTGATCCCAAATCATGAGATATATCCCGAGGCCTGCTAGAAGGTAATGAGATGTTTTGCCGGAAAATGCAGAGAAAGCACACATGCAAGTGGGATGCTTTGTACTTTCAGGAATTTACTGTGCAATAAAACAAACCTGTAAGAGATTTAACTGCTAATTTGTTCATTAAATGACTGGAGTCCAGATTCAGGTAAACTAAAGACAGAGCTGGGTATCTAAATGTCTTTTTAGTTGTGATTCAGGAGCTTTTGCCAAAACTTTGCTCCTCTTCAATCATGGCAGATTCAGTTTTTGTTTGTTGTGTGATGACTACAATTAAACCACTCAATAAAGCACTTTTCATACCCGAAATCGCACTGAAATCTAATTTCTGGATGTGAGTTTGAAAAGCTCCTCAGCAGGTCAAACTGAATCAGTGCACTAATGAGCAAACCTACATCTGATCTTTAAAGACTGCTGCCTGCAGTAATTTGATTGAAAACCAGTGAGATCGCTCGAGATCAGACAAGTCTTTTTTTTTTTAATTTACAGAAACACATGGGTGAGTGAAGAAGTGTATGATAAAACAGAACATTGGTTTGAGATTGATGCTTAAAGCAAAACTCACACATGTATGCATATAACGCATTAAACTTCACTTGTTTAGTCACTTTTAACAAGTATCCCAAAGCGCTTTACAAGGTAAAAAAAACAAAGAAAAACGGTTTAAAAAAACAGGAATTATATCGTCAATAGAATGACAATAAAAATAAGAATAAAAGTTTAAACCATCAAACCATCAAATAATTTAAGTAGCGAATGAAAAGTTGCATGTAACAAAAATACAGCATAACATATTCATACAAAAACACACACAAAAATGAATCATTGAGTTATAGCACAGCAGTGTTGTGTGAAGTCAGTAACTGCATTAGTCCATCCTTCAGTCCAACTGAGCATTTGTGCCAAATTAAAAGGAATTCCTTCAAGATGTCAGCAAGATACAGTGCTCGCAAAAAAGGGGGAGATGAATGGATTCAGAGGAAATGAGAAATAAATCACGGTCTTACAGTCAGGGGGAACAATACTGAGCTTTTGAAAAGCAATATGAGCAACACAGAAATAGTGGGCAACAGAAAATCAGTTAAAAAGAAAAGCCCCCTCTCACTTGTATTAGTGGAGAAAGAATGAAAAATAAAAAACTAAAAGTCAACAATCTTCACACTTTTTACCAACACAGCATCTTTGACCAGAAATAACACAGAAATGTTAGGAATCTGAAAATTTGGCATCTGGGTTTGATTTAGATGAATGATTTTCTACAACTGTGTGCCCAGCACAGATCGGATAAAGGAAAATGCTCAAATCTGCCCCAACAACACTCTCTATTCATGAGCATTGGGATGAAAAATGTCGATGTCAGGACATTATGGGCAGAATTAATTTTTTCTTCCCGAATCAGGAAGCGCACAAAGTTTTTAGAAATTACATTTGTTGTTCTGAAATAAAGTTACATAAGTTACAATTCTCGATTTCTTTGCTTTTCAGACAGTACCTCAAACAAACTACACACCCCCCATTTGTTTTTGCTCCTGCTGCATGTCATGAACTGCACTTAACTAATCTAAAGACCTGCACTCTGACTCCAAAAGGCCCCTGATGGTAACTATTGTAGGATGTTTTTTTGTTTAGATATACTGAACATTTAATGCTCTTGTGTCCGGTCCAGTGACCAGTCTCTGCTAAATGAATACATGTCAAATTTGATCAAATGTACCGTGCATTACAGATGTTCAGCATGTCAGAAAATGCAATCAAACCATGTTTGTGTCATGTATGGACGGAGGACATTTTGTGCCTTTAATGTAACATTTCTGAGTGAGGTGTCTTTGTGTGTGTTGGGGATCCGTCTACGTGCTGGGTGCTTCTCAAGAGGGATGGAGATGTGGCCTAATGCTGTGAAATTTGGCAAAGTGAAAGCTGGGTTCCCTCCAGTTCCTGAGATTGACTGCAGTGAGAGCTACTTACAGTGATCCCGTCATAATGAATTCAAAAGCAGAAGGGAGGGGGGGGGGGGGGGCCCCTCTAAAAAAAACAACTTTTGTTAGTTAAAGTAAAAGGTGGTGTTGCTGAAGCAAAGTGGAGCAAGGTTCTGCCGCCCTCTTTAGGCTCTCCCTGACTGGCCAAACATGTAGAGTCCACGCAGTTTTGCAGATATGAGCAAAGCTCGGGACGCTATGAGAAAAAAAGAATCTTCGGAAATACCAAAAACGACAACAATTTGGAATCTTATCAATAAATTGTTGGCCGGGTCAAGTTAAAGGTGAACTCAAGAGCTGCAATATAAGCTTGAAATGCAGTTTCAGTCAGATAGAAGTGATTCTACAGCAATACTGCAAGTGAGTCCATCATAACTATGTCCTCATGACACACATGCCTCTACTGGTCACAAACACTCAACCCATTCATATGACACCAAGCATGGAATAACAGGATAAAGCACAAACAAACAGACTCATCATCACCATCGGCAAAGAACCATTTTCAGTCAATGCTTCTCTCTTAATACAAGTTACAAAAAAAAGACACATTTTGCTGACTTTCCCTTAGCGTACAGCTCACAATTTTCTGTTTTTAGTTCAGACAAACGCAAATGCAATAGGTTTTATGCAACCCTGCTCACTGTTATGAGACTGAGACCTCCCTTCTTGCCAAGTCTTGTCTCCCTGCTGCAGTGGGAATGGATGTAAATCACATTCCTTCAAGTGCGCCCCGAGAGAATATGACAGCTTTACTGATGTGGCATTTCAGACTGGAGGTGAAACCGTCTCCGGGAGCGTGCGTGCGTGCGTGCCAGCGAGGGGGTGAGAAAACGCAAAGTGTCTCCCAGAGGGACGGTCAGGCTGCAACAGGCTCGGTGCGGGACGGAGCGGTGCCGGCCGGCTGTGCGCGCAGACGCGCAGCGGCTCCTGGGGCCCCAGATCCCCAAAAACAGTGACAGTTGAGAAACAAAGTGGTCACGGTTTCGAGGAGAGACGCTGCGCGTTGCGTGGCGTGGTGTAGAAAAAAAACAAACAAACAAAAAAACAAGAACAATAAAAGTTAAAGTAAATGAGTGTACTCACCAATCACAATGGCGATGCAGAGATAAGTGTGTTTTCTCATTAAATCCATGGTTCCCTTCTCTTCGTCGGCACAACCACGGCGAGCTGTTGGCTTTGGCACATTTATGCCTTCGAGAAGACGTCGAGTTACCAAGTGGCTCGCGAAGCTCGCAGTTGACGGACACACACACGCGCGCGCTCCTCCGGACAGTGTAGTTTTTTTCTCCAAGTTGCGCACTCTTACTCACAGCGGTGATGCTGATGCTGCCGCAGCTCCCGGTGACGACAAACCCCCACAAACCCTCCGCCCTGCCTCCGCTGCTTCTCGCTGTGCATTAGTCACCACTCATGAGGGCTCGTTTGGTCCTCTGATATCTCCTCAGGATGGTCCTAAGCCCGCTGACAGGGTATTGGAGACGTTATTTTCTTCTGCCTGTTCTCTGTCGTCATTTAGGGGGCAAAGTTTTTCATCTTTAAGACTACAGAGGTTTGTTTTTACAAAGAAAGATGACGTTAGTATAGTAGATCGTTTGCTCTTGCTATATATTTCCCCTTAGTTAAAATAAACTGTTGAGGTCGGCTACAGATCAAATATGTGCAGAAGTCTAAAGATGACTCTCTGCTCATCACTTCAGAAGCGTTGCTTTTATATTTGTTGAATAACTACATTTGAACAGTGAGAACATTTTCATCATTAAAAAATCATGACACCCCAAGAGATGCTGCAATGCAACTTTTAACCAACATCTCAAAGCCTAATTGGTTTTTAGATCTTTGGCTTTTTAACACGTGCCATAAAAGAATGGATCAAAAGTGAAACCTTCATAAGAGCTGATTCTTCAAAGACCATCATAGATATCAGCGTCCTGGCTTCTTTAAGTTAAACATTTTAATTATTGATGCTTTTAATTATTGATGCTTAAAAGGCATCATAAAAACAAATAAAAGTGTTTCTAACCCATACCTGGTTTCATCATTATATCTAATATCAGATAGTGTGAGATTAAGGTGAACTCAGAACAGACATGCTGGCAAACTGTTTTACAGACTGATGGTATAACCCTCCTCAGACCGTATCCGGTCTGTTTCTTCCTTCCCACAACGCACTTCCCAGCACCACCACAGAACACTGTACAGTAGATATTGTTGAAGGTCTCTACTCTCCTGAGTGGCTCTCTGCATGTGGTCCGAGATGCTTCCTCATTTCATAACACAAGCTCCTATCTAGCCATAAGTCAAACACTCATGAGATTGTTTTCATGTGATTCAAACAGCGGCAAAACAATGAACATCGGCATGAAGATGTACCAGCTGGCCCCTGTGGTTGGATCAGAGTTTTGGCTCATGTAGTGGACGTTTACACCTTTGATGATCAGCGGAATAGCCTAAAGACACGTTTATTGTTCCTGTATTCCTGACTCATCCAGTAATGCAACTTCCTGACCAATCAGAGGCCTGCTGTCTGCAGAATGCCCCACTCATCTTGCTCAAAACCCCATCTGAGGAGGTGCCAAATGTTTAACTGAACGGAAGTGCAAGAGCTGCACTGACTAGGTGTCTGTGGAAGAGAGCCAAATTTGTAGTAGTTGTTCACAACTTGTAATGACGATGATTTGTATTGAAGAGGAAAAAACACAATCATAGACACAAAGAAGTTTCCTTCAGGCAGTGGTTGTGCTCAACTTTAATGATTTTCAGTGCTCATTCATCCAAGAGAAGCTTTAATCAGAGCTGACGGGGCTTGGCTTCTCTCCTGTGTCTGTGTTGGGTGTGTCATCATTTGGTGTCCTGTTCACCCCTTGTTTCTACCTGCGGCCAATCCACTGTTTCCCCTCTCCACTCATCACCAGTTTGCTTGATATCCTGTACTGAGACACTGATCTGATCTGCTTCTGCACACAGTATTTCAACAAGTATCTCTTCCCCCAGAGACCTGAGCCTGCCTCCTAACGAAACATCTCTCCTCCGCTTCTCAATTTTTCCACTGCTGTACAAATCTAAAAAAAAATCTTTAAATGAAGTCAACAACTCATGCGTTTATGCTGGATTATACCTGAACCGTATACAAAACCCTGACATATTTTTCCATTTTGGGTTCGTCACACTTTAATCCTCCCCCAAGGCATCACTTTATTTACTTATAACCATAGAGGGACCTCAGTATGAATCGTGTGTTCAGTATTTCCAACCATAAGGGTTAAAGGGGCACCAGAATTGATTTCCCTAATCTTCAGTAATTTTAGTCATGGGGTTATCCCATGCCTTTTAAAAATTAGGATGTAAAAAAGGACATCAGAAGGGAGAGACATGCCACTTAAAAGAATCCTAAATAGAAAACAAAGACTAGGGGAATTCTGTAACAGCAAAAAATGGCAGTGCTATGAAGTTCAAAACAACTCATTTGGAAATGTAGCCAGGTTACAGCTCTCAAGATGGAGCTGTGAATCAGAGCAAAATTTCAACACTGGGCAGACATTTGGAAATGAAAGAAAATATTGTGCATCCGTCCAACACTGGATACGGTCGTTATCTCAGAAGCGGCATTTGAATTTAACCAAAAATCCTAGAAACAGGCCGACTTGTGTCAAACAAAAGAATTCCACAGGCTTCATGAGGCTGCACACATTCATAACTTGTTTTTGTTTCAAATCAAGCCAGAGCTGAACCATTTTTATGATCTTCATGAACAAACATGAAAGTGTGTAAGTGGAATCTTTTCATCTAAGGCAGAAGTGAATATTCAGCGATGATGAGTTCCCAAAAAAAAAGAATATGCTAAAAATGCTTCCATCGTTATTTGCATAAACATTTGAATCAGTTGCCTCACTGCAGGATGAACGTGGAAATAATGTGCAGCTTACAAACATATAAGCAGTGTCATGCAGTGTTTTTTAAAAGTTGTTCCAAAACAAGATGGGAGATTAGCAAAACCCATGCAGTGATTATTCCAAACCTCTGTACAGAGATGTGTGGAACACCTTACCCTATCTTTCTTTGTTCCATTTGAGAAAATCAGTCAGCCACACCTTTGTGCTCATAACAGACTCGAGTGCCTCAAACATGCGCGACTCGCTTCATCAACCCCCCATCGACTACCTTCATCCCCAAGTGGGAGCCTGTCAGTCACTGGGTGTTTGGGGAATTACATCCTCCCTCATTTCAGCACTTTGCAGACTTATAGTAATTGCATGAAGCTACAGCGGAAAAGGAAAAAAAATGTGTGTACAATAACTGATGAACTACTTCTGAAATGTGCTGCTGAGTTCCAAAAGAATGAGCATGTAAAAAATGTCAAATAACCTTCATCTCACTGTGCTTATAAAGAAACTTTAAAAAGCATTTTGCAGTGGTAATTCAACAACCGTGAACCTCTATTTGAAGCCTAGGTCTCACAATGATTTTCTTATTTTGGGGAGGAAAGCTTCAGATGACATGCATTTGCAATGAAGAGGAACACTTACACAGCACAAGATTTCAGGGTTTTCAGAATAATTGTTAATGGTAAAATATGGTGTCACATTATCAAAACTACTCTGTATTTCACCTGTCAGTCTCGCAGAACCAGAGCTGTTTAATTCGTATGCGGAAATAACCTCAAGAGAGACACGACATGGTATTGTGTGTCCATGTTTTTTGTCGGAGACTAATGTTGCATTACTTCTGCCAGGCATATGGTTTCAGACTTTTCAGAGTCACATCCGATCAGCCCATCTAACGATGATGCGTGGTTTTCTTGTTATTCATTCTTTTTAGCACTGTTTTGGGAAAGAAATCATGGAAACGTGACTGTTTATTTGCAGACCATCTGGTCATTTGAAAGAAGCTTTCACCTGCCAAATAAAGAAAATAAAGATTGAAACACTGATGGTTTTGACATCGATACAGTTGTAATCCTCATCAATATGTATGTGATTTTGTTTGCACTGGCTGCATTGCAG